AATTTGAGGTTTAACTGTTTAAAAAGAAACAAAAAGTACTTGGTTTTAAAAAATTGGTCTTTATTTTTTTTTAAATCATATAGTTCATAAAAGTTAAATTTTTGTTTAATTCATTCATCAGTTGAACAAGGTTTTTTCTAACTTTTCACCACGTTACGACATTTGGGGCTCTTTGTTGATGACACATGTTATCCTTTATTTTTAATTAATTATTTTCATTTTTATTTCTAACTAAACATTTATGTCAATCTTATTTCCAAATAATCATATAATTAGGTAACAATTAAAATAAAATTATTATGAGTAAAATTATTAATTGGGATCCAAAATTCATTTGTGTAAAGCAAAAGATATAACTAAAGTTATTTTCCTATAAATATAACTTGACATCCACTTCTGAATCCAATTTTTAATACCTAAAGTTCTTTTGCCAAAAAAAAAAACAGATTATTTTATAATAAAATTTCATATTGCATATATATATATATATATATATATATATATGATTTACAATCACATAATTAAAACATCTATTTTAAATAACTTTTTACATTATATTTAAATCCTATTACATTATTATTACATTTTATGAATTAATGAACTTCACTAAAATCCTATTAAGTTATAATATTTAATAAGGTATGAGTTATACATTAATATCATATCCAGTCTACACTCTACACTAATATCATATTTAATCATTTGTTCTAAATAATAGTCTTTCTTTTCATAACAATATAAATATCTAATCCAAGTTAGATTTTCCTAGAGAGACCGAACATAAATTCGATTACTTAAAAGCATTTCATGATTGTTGTCATGTACATATAATAGACAGATATATTCGTTCATCTTCTTTGTTAATGTTGATGTAAACATGTGATGCCTTTTTAAATATAAATTCATTTCTTTAGCTTTTATAGTTATGTCAATCTTTATGTTTGTTCTTAAATCGTTTCAATATTAATTTTATTCTTGAACAAAGTCTACATAGAATAATTTTTAATATATAAAAAATGATCTCATCTACGTATATGTGAGCTTCTTTTCTAATCAATTAGAATGAAAAATATCAAACTTCTTTTTTTCAAATAATTTTCATCTGTTGATTTGGCTTTTGCTTTATCTTTGTAGAGTTTAAATAATTATAGATCAAAAGCCCTTATATCTCAGGTGAAATATTTTCTAAATTGAAAAAAATTTCTAAGTAAGGTCTATTAAAATCATATATCTTAGGTGAAATATGAGTTTTGTTTACTTTTAATATTAACAATGTACACACAAAAAATTAACATCAAGTTACAATTGCCTACTATATTATGTATGTGCTAATTTGTATCACTTTGTTTTGATCTCATTCGGTTTCATATTTTTCAAATATATATTTTATTTACTTTTATTGTTTATAATGTACACAAATATGTTTTATATTAACAGTTACTTATAAACTACATATCTTAATGTAGTTTTCAATTTCTAATTCAAATTAATATTTCATATATAACCCACGGATCGCGTGGGTAACTTTCTAGTATTATATATACTTAGAGAACGTACGTAAAAGTTATTGTAGCATCATGGAATGTGTAAAATACTAATTAAGAAAAAAAAGTAGGCATTATCGTCTCTCATCATCATCACCATGTAAATGAGGCAAAAAGCATTAAAAATTGACAAGTAGAGAGAAATTAATTGAACTCATCAAGAGAAAAAACAGTGATGGGGTCCCCTCTCAACATTTTCAAAAATCTAATTCCAACCACAAACTTATATTTCCATCTAATCCTCTGTTTTTTTTTTGCCCTCTTCTTCCATAACCATCAAAAAAAAAAAAAACTCACACAAATTCAACAGAATTTTCCAATACTTCGTGTGTATGTGTATGTGTATATTTCTCTGACAAATGCCAGGAACTATACAACTTTCAGGTAATAACAGAAAACAAAAGGAATCAACTTTCAATTTCGGGCACAGAAACCCTTTTTAATTAACAAATGTTGTCTTTGTTCAATTCCTCAGTTCTGGCTCTTATTGATGATGTTCAGACATCTTCTCCAGGTTCTTCAAACGCTTCCATTAAAGGTCTTAACTTGACTCTGTTCCATGAACTCTCTTTATACATTATATATCTTTATCGACCAACATTTTTTAAAATATTCAATCTTTTCGTCTTGTCTCAGTTGCAATGGGGAAGCTAGAGTATCGAACTTCTGATTCCGGAGACTATATTTTGTAATGTTCCTCTACTGATCCCTTTTGAATTTTCAAGTTGCTAGATTTTTTTGAGGATTTGTTTTTGAAAGTGTGACACTTTTATTGTTTCTTTGATTCAATGTGGTTTACAGTCCAGTAACGAGGCTCCGAGAAAATTTGATTGTTACTCTGTTAGATGTCAATGGGAACCGAATCTTAGACAGAGGTATCTTTGTTTGGAACTGTTGAGATCGTATTGGTGGGTTTTATTAGATATGTTTGAGTTTCTGAATTTGGGTGGTTTTTGGAGGTAGAGATAGAGACCAGAATGATCATAGAGAGTGGTTTCTTGGAAGAGAAACTTTCATTCAAAGGCTATGGAAATGTCCAATTGAAAATGCAGTTTGTTCTCACTGACGAAGATAGAACCCGCATACGTTTTCTGGTAAGTAAAGACCAACTTCATTATCTTTTATTTTTGTTGCTGTTTGTATTTCATATGTTCTGTTTCATTAAGCTCTGCACATTTCCAATCTTGATGAATCAAATTGGTTTTGATTGCTTTGAAAGAGACAATCAGCATTGCGAAAGAAGCATGAGGAGCTCGTCAATGGCACTTCTTTTACCAAATCTAAAAGCATTGCTTCAGGTTAATCTAAAAGCATTGGTCTTCTTCTTTTTTGTTGGTTGACACGGTTAAGTTGTGTTTCTAAATGTTTGTTTCTTTTCGGCTTTTCTTGCTCTTGATGTGATGAGAGATCTGTCTTCTTTAAGTCCAATGCACACCCGAGAAATCGTGGCTGCTGCTCATCCTAAGAAAAATCTTGATCTCTCTCAAGAAACCGCACTTCAAGTATGATTAATCGTCACTTTGATAGTGCTATTACTTACACAAAAATTACAAGAGATTATGTCTTTGGCCACTAATGTTTTCACCTGATGTAGATTAGTGCAGATAAAGAACCAGTTTCGTCAAATCTTATAATGTGGAAACCTGAACTAAAGGATACTGTTCAACCAAAAAAAGAAGAGAAACCAAAAATTCAACTATCTTCTTTAGATGTTTCTTCAAGCAAGAAGCTTCCGGAGGTTAAAAAACCGGAGAGTGTGTCATTAGTGAAGCAAGAAGATAAGAGTTTGAGCATACCGGAAAGAATTCCTAAACGGAAGCCAATGAGGCGGAGTATGTCAGAGACAAACTTGAGCAATGTGCGTAAAATGATTAGCAACTTTGAGGTCAAAGTTACTCAGGTATTTTTGGAAAGGTTTTGAGTTATGAGTCTCTAAGATCAAGATGTTTTAAAACTTTAGTTTTATTAAGTTTCTCTACATCTAACAGGATACAAAATTTCAGACTGCAAAGATTCAAACTAGCTCTTGTAAAGATGTGGAGGAGAAAACTAAGGCGCAGCCACAACAAGAAAGCGCTGTGAATCTAGAGAAACCGGAAGAAAAGAAGATAGGCTTGAGGGATATGGAGAAGCCAGTGTGTAGAGAGGATACAGAGAGATGTAATGATTTATTTATAGTTTCAAGAGATGAAAGGAAAGTAATTATGGAGGAGAAGAGTCTTGAACAGAGTAAAAGAAGAAGTGACTCGTTAAGTAAGCAGATGAGAAAAAGAAGCTCTGTGGTAGAAGAAGTAAGAGATGATGAGAAGAAACCAAACAAAACTGTGCGTTTGAAGGATTCTCAACTTGAGAATGCACGAGGATCCCGTCTATGGATATTTCCAGATGAGGCAAAAGATTTGTCTTGCGAAAGAACAGATTGTGGAACAAGACATTTGGATATGGCAAAGGCAACTTTGTTACAAACGAACAGAGAAGAATCCAATAGTGAAAACATCGGTGAGGTACAAAAGCAATGGCCTTTGGTGGTTTTCACAATCTTTATATGATGTATCTCATAATTTTTGTTTACCTGATATATTTTCTAGAGGGGAAGCCGCTGCAGAAGTATCGCCAAAGTGGATAGCCACAACAAGTGGAAGAGTATTGAGAGATCAAAGAAACACAAGTCTGAGAATTCTACAGATTCAGACGATTCACATGGACCTGTTGGGCAGGTGACTTTATCAATCGACAATGTTTCATGGCTTATTGGCAAACCTTGAATCTATTCATCATATCGTCGATATTTTCAGGTAATGCGTGCGTTGATCGTGGCGGGGTTTGCAGGGTTAGTGTTTTTGACACGGCAAAGAACTTAAACAGGTGAGAGGGTTCTTGATAAAAAGTGAAAGACCAATTTAAGTTTTGTTTTGTTTCTTGTTATGGAAGAAAATAAAAAAAAGTAGGTTTCTTGTGTTATAAGCTTTCCCTAATTATTTCCTTGCTTTTTGCAGACGACCTGCATTTTGAGATGGTAATATTGGATCAATTCTTTTTTGATACCAGAGTATCAGACTTGTTATACATATATTATTAATTTATTATTGCACATAATAAAAAAATTCAATTATGCTTATAGGTGATCAGAAAAATAAAATTTCAAGCTTTAAGCCTAGGTGATTTATAGGTAGGTGAAAAAAAACAAAATTAACTTGATGATTGGATTGTATATATGATACAACATACATAGCTGAAGAAAATGGTTTATGGTTAGGGAGGGTTAATTATGTTTTTTCTTTTCTTTTTCCAATTCTTTTGGGTGTCGATTGATGAAACCGAAAACAAATTGGTTAAATGTGAGAAACATGGATATATAAAAGGGGTTGTTTTCAGATTAATACAATGAATAAGGATCATAGATAAAACAAAATTTTCCCGTTCTGGTTATTGAGCCTATACGCGTACATAAGCTAGGCCCATTAAAACTGGGTTAGCTGCATGTATGTATATATAAAGTACAGCCCACATAAAAAATTTCATTAGTTGAATTGAAAACAGTTTCTTCTATAGATAATTTGTAATAATCTAAAAGTCTTTATAGATATATTTTTATCTTCATATTATTAAATATATTGTATAAATTTTGCAATGAGCTTTCTTATTAACAGTACTCTTGTTTAAATTTGTTTCATTTTTTTTTTCATATGGTAGAGAAGATAACATTTTTATACAAGTTTCACTTTTACTCTAATATGTGTACTATGTGTATATGAAAAAATAATAATATTATAGTCACATCTCTGGAGGTTGTTAGATCCAAAAAAAATTCAGTGATATAATTAGCTTTAAAGAAATTATATAGTTTGAAAAAATTGAATTCAACAACTAACTCGTCGGACATGTTAAACTAATACATTCTCCGAAGAGACAGGAACCATAATTATCCTACTCTCTATCTCGATCTATACGTCACATGTTGGAGTCTCATTCCTTTTGATATTTTCTAACAAAAAGTCTCATTCCTACCATATAAAGTGATAACATGTACGCATTTCTTATAATCTACAAAAACCTAGCTCTTCAAGTTATTAAATTTTTTCTCAATTTGTGTAACAATAAAACATAGTTATATAAGTGTAGAACTTGTATAATTTTCTATATAACAAACGAAACGATCCATTAGATGATAACATGTGTAATAGAAACCAAACACATGTACGTGAAACAAAATCTAGATATTATGTTTTTATTTCTTGGCATTAGATTTTTATCGACCACATGATTTGGATCTTTGAAAAGATATAATAGACTTTTGTATTTTTTATTTATTTTATCGAGTAGAAATGACAATAATTTGAAGGCCTCATATATATATATACATAAGTCATTGATAAGCATAGGACCCGCCAAAAAAAAGGTTGGGTGAAATGTCTTTGTAACTTAAAAGTGATTACTGGTGTATTGACATGATAACAAAGGGACCACTCACAACACCCATAATATTTTTTATTATTTTTTGTTATTACTTGTTCAATGGAGTGTATCATCAACCAATGGTTCCCCATGGAGAAACAAATTAATAAATACGAAATGCGTTACCCTAAGATAATGTCATTCGAGTTCATACATTGGACTGTCAAATTGGGTGGGTTTTAGGGTGAGGATTTTTCAATCTCCATTTTGAGACCCTAGTTTTAAAACAATCAACTAGGAAGCAAGAAACCACATTTAGGCCACCTGACTGACTTAGGTTTAACTAAAATATGATGCCATATGAGGAATCAGGAGCTTCCAATGTAGAAAACAACTGATCATGTTTCATGTCATGAGTGACTCAAACACATAGACCTTGTTTAATTTGTTTACTTTTAAGTTATATCAAGATTCCGATGTAGAATATTTTCTGACTATCAGGATTCTAGTCTTATTATTACCATATATCTAATTGATATGGACTAATTGCCATTAACCTAAATTGTCACCTGCATACGTTGTAATTTTTAGTTAATAAAATTGATTAGTTTTGTATATAGTATATGATATATCCAAGTCGATAACATTAATAATAGAATATTTTGTCCTGCAGTCACTTTGGTTTCTTTCCAATTGTAGTGTCACTATTAACACAACTTGCACCAATATAGAAAAATGTTTAAAATGTGACCCCTTTTTTTTAAATCGCAACAACAAAATTATTGCAAATCTGAAAAAGACCCTTTGGTTTTGTGTTAAAGTGGATACAATGTTATAAGATTGATTATTTAGCTCTAGTGGAATCACTATCGATTCTTAAAGTTATGTACGCTACGCTCTGTTTGTAACTCAGTTTATAGTTTTCTTAAAAACTAACTATGTTAATTTGTCCCAGACAAAAAAAGTTATAGTATATGCATAAAAGAAAAAGACAAATTCTTATCCTAACATTAAAAGTAAATTTTAATGGACTATATATAAAACAACAAACTACAAACAAATTGTATTATATGTTCTATCGTAGTAACTTTCAAAGTATATATAAAGATACCCTAAATATAATCGTTTCGCCAAGATATGTTAAATCGCTAAGTCTCGGTTTTGAATTCAAATAATTATAGAGGAAAAAAGTATGGATCCAAGACAAAAGTCTCACAGTACAGCATAAAATATTCACCAAATTTATCAAAGTAACTAAGATGGATCAAAAATCAAATTAGACAGGATCGGTGATTATATATGTAAAGCTTTTAAAATTTAAACTAGTTATGTGTATATATTGTTTTCACGTAACGCTAATAGGTCTAATATTCGATTCAGGAGATTGAATGGACGCAAGCTTCAGCTCAAGATCGAGTCCACCAGAGTTACCCGACTCTGATACTTTCGGATCTGGATATCCAAGACTAGGATTTAGTAATCCTTGTTTCCAAACAACCTTTGAGGTCGACTCAATATGATCATTACATATACTTTGCAGAGTACTGTTTTCTTCAACCTTGCCGACCGAAACCTGTTGAATATATAATTATTTTGACAATTCAGAATTATTTTTCCTTCTTTTGATTCATCAATAAATTATAAATTCATCATATATTACTTATTATTTGTATAAAGCTTAGATTAAACTTAGAATCTTGACTTTTTGGTTTATAAAATGCCGACATCTGAAGTGGTAAAAAGGACTTGCAAAACAAAGAAAACTTTCTAAAAATAACATAAAAATTCTGTTTGAACTTTTAAAGATGTGACTTTTGGTTGGATACGAATTTTTCTTCAAAAAAAAATATGATTTTCTTTGATTATGATATTTTTCGTTTCTTTACATACAAATAATTTAAATTCTTTTTTTTCTTTTATGTATATATAGAAAAGATTGGAACTTACCATATCGAAGAGGCTGGTGCGGCGTCTCTTGTGATTGAGAGTGGTTGTTTGCCGGAGAAAGTGCTTTTGAGCATGACTTGCCACTTGTGTCGGCGATTTCGTGACGACGAAGTTTCTTGAGATCCCTCTCCAATCTCCTTTTCCAAGCTTCTCTAACCCAATTAGAAACGTCCGGTGCTCTTCCTCCGTCCATGGAACCCCTAATCACACACAAAAACAAATCATTTACTCTTTCTGAAAAAACTTGAGCCAAAGCCGAGGCAAAAATATCGAGTTTTAGATTGATTCTTGATTTTCTTGACCAATCGAAATTCTACATGTGTATAGCGGTTGCATGCTTTAGAATATATATAGTACTCCAAACTAACGAGCACAGGTGACAAGTATATGACTGTTTTAACATGTTTTGATCAGCTATCCAAGTCGATTAATTATATAATCTATCATGTATTAAAAGAGACACGAAGATTAATTATATATGTCAAATTTGCAACCTTTTCTGCGGTCGGGTGTTTTCTGGGAGAGACCGTCGGAGAGGTAACCGGCGAAGGAAGAGGAAGAGGAGGAGCATGCTGGCAAGCAATCCATGCTGAAGCTTTTCTTCATTGCGGCGGTTAAAATCGACGGAGGAGAAGGAGGTGGCGGAGAAGAGCTTGTGGTGTCTAGATGAACACCAAAGAGCCTAATGGCTCTTGTATGGTAAGAAGAACATGTTCTTGAGTTATGCCCTACGTTTCCACAGTGTGAGCATCTTCTACCCATTGCAATGAATGAGAAAGAGAAGGAGAGGAGGGACAGAGAGAAAAAGAGAGAGAGAGAGAGATGATGTTGAATTGTTGATGATGAAGAGGTATTTTGGGGGTTATGTAAAATGGTGGAGAGCATAGAGAGAGAATATGATTGGATAAACCAAGTTTATTTATTGGAGGATTTTATAAATTTAATTTTGTGTTCTCCAAGTTGGTGTTTTCTACTTTTAGCCAATAAGAAGACGAGCTTACGTATATAAAAAACAAAATAAGGAAAGTATGTCTTTATCAGTGGAAATTTATCATTAATATAGACTGAAATGTAGATTATATTCTAATCTAATTGATTTGTGCTAACAAGAATAAAATCTTGATTTATCTTTCACATATATAGTCTAATTACTATTATTTTAAAAATTTCGCGTTTGTGCTTGATAGAATCTTTGATACGACGAAAGAACTAGGTAGCCAATGCCATATCAAGAATGGAATCTATATATGTATTTGTAAATGATAAAGAATATACAATATCCTTTTGCAAAAGAAAATATGGATATATGGTTGAGACTTGAGAGAGAGAGAGGACTTGGATTGAATCCTCCAATAGTTTTGGGGAGGTGGGTAGTTGGATGACCTAATTAAAATGTGGAAAAGAAAAATAAACAAAAAAAAAATGATTTCACATAATTTTTTAAAATAGAGATACAAACAACAAAGGGGTCTTTGTTTACAAGAGCAAAGACAAGTGTTATGTATGAATGTCAAAAGAAAAAAAAAGAAGACAAGTCTTATTAATTGTTATTGTTTGTTAGATGAAAATATGGATCTTATAATACTTTCGTGAATAATATTAGTTGGCCGGAAGAGTCATGTATGTACATATTTTTATTTAATTTGAAGATTGCCTGATTTGCTCAGATATTGTAATCGATACTACTATTAGATAATAGTAGACAAAGCACTATCCAACTTGCATTTAACTATTTATGGTTAGAATTGGTAAATAGCAATATGGACTATGGAGATTCCATTGCTAAGTTAAGGATGTAGAGCAAAGTATTGGAGAACAATGATGATGATTCATATTGATTATATAATAATCTATTAATGTTGATTCTATATACAGTATGAATATTTAATGGGGATTTATGTTTTGATCCTATAATAATAATATATTCAAGTTGATTCTATCCCACATACATATTATATGATATGATGGGTCTATTCATGTTGATACACTATAATATTCTATTAATGTTGATTCTATCTTCTTTACATACATAAAAGAGAATATGACTGAGATTCAAATTTATCACACCAACTAATTAATTTCCTATTAACATTTCGTATTAACACATATGATACGGCTACTTAATCAATTCTACTCTCCAATGAAATTTGGTTTTAGTGAGGTAGGTCATTTCTTTTTATTAAGAAAAAGCAGAAACCACAACAAAATAAGAACATCTTATGGATGCTCTTCATCAACAGACTTACACGTAATCCTTAAACCGTGGAACTATTCAAATATTTAATGATTCTTGCTAGTTTTATTCTTCTGATGACATTGATATAACTGGCCTCGTAACGTTTTGCTTCGTTATCGTATACATCATCCCAAGAAAGCCCTTTGTAAGATTCTCAAGTCTGTTCGGTATCTTCAAACTCCACCTTCGAAAGTACCCATGCATGCTATAACTTCTCGCAGGTCACCGGACATCAATCAAGCCTGATCATTTTGATACTCCAAAGCTCATAGTCTCTCATTGATTGAACACTGGAAAAGCCTGTTGTATCTTCTTTTGAGCATCCACATCTATGTTTCTTTCTTGTACGTACTGGTTGTTTATGAATTAGCTAGCTCTGCTTTACGTCAGCAATAACTGGAGATACAATCTTGAGTGTGTGTCGGTGCGAAACCGATACTACTCTGTTTTCATCTGTTCTAAAGAGGAGACAAGAATATAAGTCCACAATTAATGCAGAGAAGAATTTATAGATGAGTTCAAAATCAATAACTATCACATTCATAAATCCAAGCAAAGCAAAAACCACAAACCAAAACCAATATTAAAACCAAAACCAAAACCAAAACCAAGGCCAAACAAAAAAACAAGTCATCTTCTCATTACAACTACTTGTTCTTCAAGTTATGTTTCTTCATAGATTCGATCACTCTTGTCATCTCCTCTTCCTGGTTATCATAAGCATTCAAGTGGAGTAACATCATCTCTTGCTGCTTCATCAATATCATCATTTGTTTCTGCATCTCCATTAGCATCTTTTGATTTTGTTGCACCAACGACGACACTTCCCTTTGTCTCTCCATCGATTCCACTTGGTTTTGAGTAATCTCATTCAATGAGTACAATATCTCAGCTTCTGCTTGAAAACTTTCTTCCACATCAACACTCTGAACTATAACCGATTCTTCCAAATAATCTTGATCCGGTCTCATATTGTATTCATGAACAAGCAAACAATCGATTAGGACACTAACAGAAAGTGTTTCTGCAACATCCACCATGACTTTATTGAATTTTGGAGGCAAAGAGGAAAGAATCTTATTCACCACTACTTTATCTTCCACCTTCCACCCACAAGACTTCATACGAAACACAAGCTCCATTAGTTTCTCTGTAAACTCATGAATAGTTTCTGCATCATCCATTGTCATCTTCTCGTATTCATTCTTCAGATCAAGAAGCTTTCTACCTTGAAATATAGGACCACCTACTGATCTTACCATCAAAAGATCCCATGCTTCTTTTGATGTTGTAGCATAAGCAATCCATGGAAAAACATCAACGCTTACTCTTGTCTGGATTATAGAAAGCGCTCTCGCATCTTTCCATTCCATACATCGTCTCCACCAAATTGAATAGTTTTCAGCTGTCACATCATCAGATGGCAGTGCATCATAACTTACCCCTTCGAATTCATAAGATGTCGATGAAGTTACCTGCAACGGTTCTTATTGATGAATTCCCATCTCCACGACATTCCATAGATCAAAACCCTTGAGAAAATTTTTTAGCTGTACACTCCAGTACTCATAGTTGTTTCCATCAAATACAGGAACACAAATCATCGATCCCTTCCTTGATTCAACTAAAACAATGATCTCTGAAATAAAATCTTCAACTAGGAGCGTGAATCAAAATTAAATAGGAGAACTGTGTCTTATAATTTTTTTCTTGAAGAGGTTTGTGATTATATATTAGATATATACAAAGATCGATTGTACAAATCTCAAATAATATAACTAGATACAAGATAAATCTATATATTTTAGAAGATTTATGAGATGATATACACGATAACAAATATTTTGTTTAATTTGGTTTCTTAAAGATATCAACTATTAAATTAACAAATATATAAGTCAATTAATAAGTCAAATCGAATTTACTCCTTCGTTTCTTTGAATAGTAGACCTAAAAGTAACGAAACTTGACTAACAAGGTACGTCGTCTACTATTACATACACATTTATAAAAGTTTGACTTCTCTGATTTTTGTATTTTCTTGTCATCAAAGAGATTCCTCTGTTTTAGTCGGATACTCTGTTTCGGATGCAGACTTAAATAGAATTAAAAAGGCTTTACACTAACAATTTTTAGCGTTAACATGGGGACCTATACATTCACATGATCAAAAGTATATATATTTTTGGGATTTGAAACAAACATTCTATGGACTATGATGGGGTTGAATTACAAGCTGACACTAAGTTGAAGCCTTAGACATAGATTTATAACTCCTTCACGATCCTCAGGTCATTCCGGTCTTCCTAGATAGCCTCGCCACTCAAGAGTTTTAAGATGGAAGTTCAAACACTCAGGAACAGTATCGGGTTTACTGACAGAAATTGGTGGATCATTGAAATCAGAATCCAATATTGCTATGGAATCATTTTGGCAATATGAGTTAGGTTAGCATATAAAAAATGAGAGATGATTAACCTAATAAACCGCGATATTTTGATTTACCTTGTTGAGTATGAGAGCTTGTATGATTAGGAGAATGTTTGAGCAAACTCAGAATATTTCTAAGTTATTATCTTAAATTTAAAGTCATGTATGTATATTGTATGTATGTGACAGAATGTTTATCTTAATGAAGTTTCAAGACAAATGTAAAATATACATTATGTATCTACTTAATATTATGTTACACACATATGAATGCAGAACTCTTCTGTTCCATCTACTCTGTTTCTCTGATTTTTAAAAAATTTAAGATAATTGTAAATTGTAATCTTTATACCTCCAATCAGAATCAGTGTAAAACCATTTTGAAAGCTTTCTTCCATATCAATTATTAAGCTTAAATCATGCTAAAAGATTTTGCAATTTGCATGGGATTTGAATTGATGAGTCCCATTAGAGGCCAGTCACTCTAATTATTCACGAGATCTATAATTGCATAATTTCATGATTCGAGAGGATGAAAATAAGTAAAGTAGAGATTAATCTACGCCTAAAACGAGTTGTAATATAATTATTGAGATATAGACACACAAAAAGTTTAAATATAAATAAATTTTGGCAGTCATTAATCTACTCCTCGAATCAAGGATTCGTTATAACTCACACTGTCTATAGTACTAGTATAAATTAACCCTCCTTGAGATCATTATAAACACAAGATCACAAAAGAAAGAAGTCATTCTAAACATTTCAAAACACTTAGTTTTTTTTTTTTTCATTAATTAGTTCTCAGCAATGGCTGTAAAAAACTCAATTCTTGTCGTCGCAACTATCTTCTTTGGCTTGATAATCATGTCTTCATCGGCTAATCAAACATCAGATTCAACCAAAGAAGAAAACAAGGCGATGGTGACGAGAGAAGAAGATCCAAAAGGGTTACATCCCAAAGAGTGTTTCCAGGCGATCAAGAGTGTAGAAGGTTGTTTTGAAGCAATTGGTGGGATCTTCAAAGGACAATTTCATGGGCTGAGACATTCTTGTTGCAAAACGCTTAATGGGCTTTCCGACAACTGTTGGCCGACGTTGTTTCCCGGGAAACTCTACCTACGTATCACGATCAAGTTAATGTGTCTCTTTAGTGAAATGAATGAAGACTTCACCCATAATAAGTACTAGCAACATATAGTTGCCTTCCGGAAAAATAAGATGTGGTCAATCACGTCAATGATGTAATGATCTTCCGATGTTTATGTTATATCAATAAATGATTAAACCATTTTTTTAGTTTCTAATCTTCCTATGCAATAATCACTGTTAGTAACTTCTTCGTTCAGTACGTAGAATCAAATTGCATATCCAAACGAATAAGCAAATACGCAAGGGGTATAATATGAATACGTTGAATCAAATTGGTGTTCATTGTAATGGACTAAGGTACTTTAGAGTATTGTCATTGGGAATTATCAGATTCGAATAATAAAATTATCTCTTGCTAAAGTTCAAATCCAAGATATGCCACAAAATCTGTGAGGAAGTTCTAAAATTTAATTAAAAGCTGACACATGGTTGAAGCCTTTGGCATAGATTCCAACTCTTTAATCATCAACTGATCATTCTCTGTGTCCCTTGAATGCAGAGAGATTGTAGCCTTCTTCAAACAACTAGCGTTTTCAAGAACGTAAACCGCAGCTTTTATCTCTTCATATGATCCTGCGTAGCCTATCCATTGAATAGTCTCGAGATGGAAGCTCAAGCATTCAGGAACCGAGCTAGGTTCAGAGACTGAACACGGTTGATCCTCGACAGTATAGTTGGGATGTTGCTGATCATTATCATAAATACATTGTATTAGATCAAGTCAAATCTCTCAGAAGTCATAACAGAACACTAAGATTGGAAACTGTGACTTTTACTTACGTGGTTGAGCTTGAGAGCTCGTAAACAAGGTAAATCTCTTAGCAAACTCATAAGTAGATTCGACCTAAAGTTGTCGTAAATGTCTATTTCCAAATGAAGAAGTTGCTTGGAGATGAATCTATCTGTAAGGTGAAAAACCTGCAGAAAAAAACAAGGTTATAATGTTTATCTTCAAAAAAAAAAAAACAATGGAGCTTGCGGGAGAAGTAATAAGTTACCATTGAAGGATATAAATCTAGCGAAAGATGTTCGACTGAAGTAAGAACTTTAGGAAGTTTCTCATTTTTTGAGAGGTTAACTTTAACACTTGCCTCCACCAACTTAGATATATCCTCGACAAGATTGAAACTACCTACGCGATCGAAGATCTTTAAGTACTTCAGTAAAGGAGCAATAACCTCGACAATCGCGTCATCGTTACAATAATAGCCCTGTTCTTTAGTGAAGGATAATCTCTGTAGTGTAGGGACTGATATGGAGAACACAAAACGGCCTACACTGCAAAGTCTTTGGATGAAGAGTTCTTCAAGAACAGGACAAGACGATAGAAGCCTGGAGAAAGAATCCTCGCACTCGAATTTAACGCATTTGAGGTACAAACTTTTCAGTGACCGGAAGCAAACGGGAGATTCAACAACATCAAGAAGAATATGACCTTGGAGTTTCAAGACAACTAGTGTCTGAAAGACATCAAGGTTGTTTGTGAAACTGATATGACTGTAATAACAAGGATAAGTAGTAGAACTGATTGAGATCTCAAGGAGAGTGGAATGAATCATCGGGAATAACAGAGAATCTAAGGAATCAGAGTGTTTCCTAAGTTTGAGATTTAGGGTTTTGACAAGTGGAGCTTCATGTAAATGCAATGACCTGCCACAGAATTGGACAAATCCTCCAAGGGAACCAATGTTGGGACAAGAGTTTTCATCATATACAAGCGTTGGTAACATCTTCCACACAGGTCTCCATCGTTTAGACAGTTGACTAGTGGACATTGCATCGCTTACCGGGATTAGTGAGAGTATACGGAAAAGCAAATCGTTAGGTAAGTGGCTGATCATATCTGAGTATGTAACCTCTTCGATTCCGGATCTTGCAGCATCCATCGCCATATCGTTTGATCTGATGGAGGAATATACAAAACCCTAATTTTTTTTGGCTGAAGTGTTGAGGATGAGAGAATGAAACTCTGAGTTTTGTTAATCTTTTTCTTTTCGTAAGATAAGTCCAAATTTATTCTGACATTACTTTTTGGACAAAAAAAAAATTATTTGGAGAGATCTCACCTTAATTGAATCTCTTTGATTTGTCTTAATTTTAGTAGTATTTACTATTTAGCACAACACATCTCTTTGACTGATATAAATAAAAAACATCTAAAAAGATCCAAAAGTTTACAAAGCTGACATTAAATGCATATATTCAAAGATTCACATCAAAATATAGATTTTAAGTGAGAGTCGTTAAAACCATACTTTCTTAGAAAAGTTTTATAGGTCGAACTACAAGCTGACACAAATTTGAAGCCAAAGAGATAGATTTCAACTCCTCGATCATCATCACATCATACTCACCACCTTCTATGGCACATGCCACTGTCTTAGATTTTAGTCAGTGTAAAAATCTCAACAAACTTTACTTGAATCTTTGTCTCAGTCATGGGCGGATCTAGAAAATTTGTTCAATGGAGGCAAAAATATAGTAAAAAAACTATCAAATACTAAATTATAAAAGACATAAAATTGTCATGTAAAAATTTTAAAATATTTTACAAAACCACTTAGACGTTCATTTAACAATTGAAACCTTTTTACCACATTTTCATTTGTGACAGATTCAAATAATTAAAAACAAAAAAACATGTTATTAATTAAAAATTTAGAAAATTTTGAATTTATAGACTTATATTTTAAAATTTATTAATTTTATATTTTTGAATTATGTAACAAACTTCCATAAAAGCTTAACCATAGAATAAACATATAAACAATTATCACTCCAAAAACTAATATTGTCATGTATAACATAAAAACCTATATAATGTTTTCCAGGAAACATAGTTATAAGCTGGAACTGATTAAATAAAATTAACTGACTAAAAAATAATGCTTATATAATAGAAACGATTGTAAAAAAGCAGGAAAATAAACTCACAAAATTGATAGTTGTTGATTTGTTGTCACACAAAGAAACCAAAGGAGTAAAGAAGAAGAAAATAACAAAAAATTAGGTCTAGATTAGTAAGTCTTTAATTTATATATTAATATATATTTTTTTGGTACATGGATTAATGGGCTTTCTAAGAAAAAGGATGAAAAGTAGTTTTTTTTTTTCGGGAATTTGTTTTCTAATAATTTTTAATAATTTTTTTTTTTTTTTTTGCCGGTGGCAACTGCCCCCACCACCTTGGCTGTGGGTCCGCCCCTGGTCTCAGTATATAACAAGCTCTGTACATATTACAAATTTGAAGCAAAAACTCGCTGAAGCTGTAAATACCCTACTAGATAGTGTACAAACTCCACAAGAAGACTTTTTCCCTGTGAAACTTCTTCTACATTGGATTCATGACAACGTCTCCTTCTAACATCCGCAACACCTTCATTGATGAGACCACATATTTCGTAGATAAAAGAAATATTAGCATTTGAAAAATTCGATCAAAGTTTTTAACTTCCAAGTGTTTTTGAGATGAGTTATGGGCAGCAAACCTGAGACATTCGTGGCCTCGAGTTAGGGTCACGGCGAATGCAGAGGTAAGCACATAGCGCCATACAGTAAACTTCTTGCTCACAGTAGCAATTCATTAGACGCGGATCAAGAAGTTCGTTTATGGCTTGTTTCTGCAACAACGGTCTTGCCTGCAAAACAAAGTACAAAAAATGTTTTTTCTTTGTAAATCATCTGAGAGCTTTAAAGACTGAAACTTTGATATAGTTGTCTTTTGGTTTTACCCATTCGGTGAGACACTGTTGACCTTTAGGACGTTTAATGTCCATAGCTTTTCTTCCTGTGATAAGCTCAACTAAGACAACCCCAAAAGAGTAAACATCGGCTTTTTCTGTAATCTGTCCGCTTTGTGCATATTCAGGTGCCAAGTACCTGAGGAATAACAGAAAAGTTCATCTTGGTGATTGTGTTCTACAAATATTAAAATCAAGAAGAGGAATATCTCAAGAACATGCCATAAGATTACCCGAAAGTTCCAATCACTCGAGTTTCCACTCCTTTATCTCCTTCTGGTTGCCATCTCGCTAGCCCGAAATCTCCAACCTAGAATGTTAAAAAGTTTCAAGCTTTGCACAAACCCGAAAGAGAGAGAGAGCTTTGAGCATATTTTGATCATTCTTTTTACCAAAGGCTCAAAATCATGAGTGAGGAGAATATTGTTAGGACGCATATCTCTATGCACGATGCAACCGACTCTGCATTCTTCATGAAGGTATCTCAACCCACGAGCTGCTCCAACCGCAATCTTTTGTCGCGCTGACCATCCCAATGGCTCTCTCCCCAGACCTACAAAACTTTCCATTAATAACAATGTTTCAGAAAAATAAAGTTCCTTTTTGTATCCAAGAGTAGAAACTTTACCATAAAGATGAGAATGCAAGGATCCATTACAGATATACTCATAGACGAGCAACCTTTTCCCATCCTCCACGCATAGTCCAATGAGCATTACAACATTCCGATGTTGTGCACAGCTCAAGACCTCAACTTCAGAGCAGAATTCTCGGTCACCTTGTGTACTAGCAATCTTATATTGTTTGACAGCAATAATTTGACCATCTGGTAAAGTTCCTAGGTGAACCGAACCAAACCCACCTTCAGCCAAGAAACTCCCTTTAGAAAAACCCTTTGTTGCGGTCTCCAACTCGCCGTAGGTGAACCATCTTGGCGGGTTTCCAAACTTAGGGGCCTTGTGTTGACATATGGTACATAGTGGAGGAGGTCCAGGAGCTGGCTTTCTGGATAAAGAAACCACTTCTCTCACACTTTTGTTTAAACATGTATCAGATTTACGGATTTCCTTTGCTGCTTCAGGTTCTTTCTTTGATAAAGTGAGCCTAAGAACTGAGAATCTTGATTTCCTTGGAGTTTCGGTATGAGCTTTCGATAAATCCCCACTAGGACTCAGAATATCAGCTGTTGTCACAGGATGAGAAGATGAAGAGGCCATTGATAAAGGACTCCACTTTTCACCATCCGAATCAGAATCAGATTCAAAGAAGCTCTTGTTTCCATCACTGATCCATGAATTCTCTTTGTTGAGTCCCTCAAAGATTCGAGAAGCTAAAAACGGCGAGGCTCCAGCATCAGAGCTAGATATCGATGAAGTCCCAATGTCAGTATGTGAAGAACCTTCTTGGTCTGGACTGCTAGCCGGAGTCACAAACGGTTCCCTCAGCTTTTTTCCGGGTCTTGAGCTTCTCCGAGGATCAACAGATTTTGAGGTTAACCTTGAAATAGCTTCTGGATGCTCTGTATCTGCATTTTTCACCAAATTGAGACGAAGAACTTTTGGCTGTGACTTCTTGATTACCACAAGATTGCACTCCAATTGATCAATGCAGCATTTCTTCTCATACTTCAGTCCCCTGTTTAATAATTTTCAAAAGGTCACCAAAGCTGTTTTCAAAACTATGCATTTGCAACACACTCACACTCACAATCAGACATATAGTGTTACCTGTCCAAAATAACCCAATTTGAGTTGGATTTCTTGGCTTCAGCAGCAATAACTCCATCAGGTGATGCAAAAACAATTTTGATTCTGACATTTATCTGCATTATTAAAGCAAATGAAACGCTTTATCATCCCATTAACCAAAAAAGCTGTTACTTTTGTAACCTACATGAATAAAGTGAGTCTTTCTACCTTCTCTGCATCATAAACATTGTGTAACTGAAACATCATCTGAGAACAGGATTCATGAATATCATCTTTCCGATCTGAATTCGTTCCAGCAAGAAATCTTCCATAACCTGAGGCACAGTCGCTGGTAAACCTCGAAAACCCCCAAATCTTTTTACCTGAAAAAAAACAAGGAAAAACAGATTAACTCTTTACATATTACTCTATAACCAGACAAAATCAATCCAAGGCTCATTGGTTTTGTTTTCAAATCCTGTTTAAATAATTAAGAACAACAGTCCAAGATCTCAAGTTGTTTCCCATAGTAACCGAGTCAATTTAAAGCAAAAATTCTGCCTTTCTAACTAAATCCTTCACCACAGATTGTGAATCAAAGACAAGAGAAGAGAAGAGACAAAAGATGATGTACTTGTATAATTAGAAGGAACAACAACAAGAAGCCTAATACGATCTCCAGGTTGAACAACATGAGTTAAAGTCCACAAAAGAGCTGCTTTTGGGATCTCCTTAGATGCTCCAACAGCAACCATTACTTTCTTCCCCACTACAACACCTCTCTCTCTACAACCCTTCTGCTTCATTCTCTAGATTAAGAGAAATCACAAACCAGAAATTGAAAAACAATCCTAAACTTCTTCTTCAAACCCTTGCTTACATACAATACGTTACAAGCTTTAACACTTCACTCAATCTAAACCCAATTTCTGAAATGAGAAAGTGGAAGTATCACGCAATCCAAGATGCTTTCCAGATGACCCCAGAAGCTTAAAAGAAATATAAAAAAAGAAAAGTTGAGAAATTTACGCGTGTGTGAGTGTGTGTAAGTAAATGTGCGAGATTCAATGACTCTAACACTATTTTTTTATCTGAGAAAACACAAGAACATGAACAGATGCACAAAACACAACAGCACAAGAACCCATAGTACACTGTACTCTCTCTCTCTCTCTCTAGCTCTTTCTTACTAATAGCCAATCCCTAGATCTCTCCCACTCTATTCTCTCTCTCTCTTTCTTACTGAGAAATTTCAAAGCTTTTAGTTGAAGACTTTAAGCTCCACGAAAATGGTGTGAGCAATGCTTTGCTGTAGAAAACAACGAAAATTTTGCTCATACTTTGTAAAGTGTGGGTCCAAAAAAAAGCTGATGCTGTAAGTCAGATTTTTGGATTTTCAAACACTCATTTCTTCTTCGACAAAATCAGAGGGATTTGGTAGAAGAAGATTTAATAAAAAAGCAAAGTTCCAAAACAAATATCTAAAAGGAAGAAGAAGATTAAAAGTGTATATAAACAACTGAGGAAGAGAAAGAGGACAAATAAGAAGTATTTCAGATTTGTAGCTCTGTTTCAAGGAAGAGACAAGACAATGGTATTGTTGTTATTATTATTATATGATTAGAGTCTCTGTATATTTGTAGCTCTGCATATTTGTATTTTGAAATAAATTCCAAGAATAATAAAAGAATAAAGAAATATTCACAAAGTACTCTGCTTTATTCTAAAGAGAGCCAAAAAAGAAGCCAAGGATGATGATATATTGATTCTTAAATCTTGGCTCAATTTTGTTGATTTGATTTTTTTTTATAAGACCAGTTTCTTTCTTCATGGGCAAGTTATGGCCAACTCTCTTCTTTTATGACAAAAAAAAAGAAGAAGAATTATAGAATCAGTTCTCATAGTGTTCATTCGTTGAGAAAAGAAAAGAAGTAAAGATTAGAAATGATGATATAATCTTAAGGAGTTGAACGTTGCACTTGTGCATGCTTTTCATGTTGCTTTTTTATTTGTTTCAGTGGAGAAAGTAAAAAACAAAAGTTGAGTAAAGATGATTTGTACTTTATTAAAGCATGAAAGGTCCTTCAATAAATCAAAGTCTAGTGATGCGATCGAATATATCATATGTTATCTTGGACATTTATCAAATTTTCAGATCTTATGATTTTTTTAAATAAATGTATAAGCTGTTATTGAAGTGACAAAACAATACTTTGGATTTTAATGGCAGCATGCAAGCACACTATTCATTTTTATATCATAATACAAAGCTCATTAGAGTTTTCGTTTAAGCTTAGAGTGAGCCACTTGTCGATCTTCCATGTAATCACATCACATGGTTCATACGGTCATACCTCATAGCTTCAACGCGGTTAGCATCTTTAGGACAAGCCATTAAAACAAGTATATATGATGAGTCAAAATTTATGATATGACATTTCTACTGTCTTGGTCGGGCATATATCTATCTGATCCCATTACGAGCTTCCGAAGTGAGTTTTGACGCGGAAGGTCGATCACCAGAAGCTGTCTCGTGTGTTCTACATCCACATGTGACATGCCACAAGACCCGGTTTGTAAAATACTCGATGAAAGGGATTTACCACTTTACCATCAGCTTCAATTACCTTCAACAACATAATTTTTGTTTTCACATAAATCAGTTATACACAATGGCAAATGTAAATTTGGCTCTTGATAATAATGCATTTTAAAAATGTCAATTAATTGAAGCTTATTGTTGTTAATAATTGGTTTTATTCCAAAATACTTATTATTAAGAAAATGATAAACAAAAATGGTGAAAATGAATATTGGGTTTTCCTCAATAGAATTATATATGTTTTTTTGGGTAGTAAAAATCCTAAACATGGAATAAAATTTTTTAAAAGTTAAAAAGTCTTCATTAAGAATGTTTATATTCCCTTATGCTAATTACATTTTCAACATTGACTAATGTAGATAAATATCAACTATTCCAACGGTAACTAACCCATTGTGCAGGAGAAGCTTCACAGTTCCAACGGTCATTTACAAAAACAAAAAGGAAAAAAAAAAAAAAAACTCATCCCTTTTGGATCGATCATTAGATATATAAACACCCATTTTTTTGGAGGGGAGATACTTTTTTTTCTTCATCTTTATCTTTTTGGTGGTGTGTTAAAATTACGAGCACTGAACAAAAAAACAGAAAAAGAATAGGACTTTTTAAATCTTTTGGATCAGATAAAGAACATTGGTATCATCGGAATGGAATTTGGGGACGGCGTTTCCTTCGCCGTCGTCCCCACTGTCTTCAAGAGAGAAGACTACAAGCGGACCAAACACGACTCCGTTTTCTCCAACTGGCAGGTCCTCTCTCTTTCCTTCCCATTTCTCTGTTGAGTTCGGTTTCTGAGTTTGGTTCTTTGCTAGATCTTGTGTTTTCTCTATAACCCATTTTGGAATTTCTCAGATTTCAGTTGAACTGAGAGACCTGATCTTCAATTTTCCTGGCAGTCGGTGTTAAAGATCCCATTTTAATGCGTATTGTGTCTTCTTTGATCAATGGTTTCACCAAATGCTTATAATCTATTCAATAAGTTTGATCTTGTACTTGCATTTGCATCGTCTGTGTAGATTTGTTGCGATTAACCCATTTGGAGATTTGCGGAAATGGGCTATAAAAAAGTCTTCATTTCCTCTGGATTAGAATTGGGCACTAGCTCTTACATTTGATTTGTCTCATTATGTCTCCTTGATTCCATTCCTACTTGAAGGTGTTAGTTTAAGTCCCTTTAGCCGATTATTCCAAGTATCTGATTTTGTAAAGTTCGATGCTACTATACACAGGTTCTTATAGGATCCAACGATTGGGAGGATTTCAAAAACGGAAAAGACGGTGTATGTAGATACAGAGTCCAGAACTTACCCCGTAAATCATTCCCCGGTCTGTATGAGCTTGGCGTAGCGGTCATTGATTCAGACCAAGGTCGAAAGCTTGAACCTGATGATGTTCTTGCTGCATATCTAGGACAAGCTGAAAGTGTTAGGTCTAGACTCCAGCGTTATGGAAGATCCGGTGCTCATTTGCGCAATGTTTATAGCCTTTTCGACTGTGAAATCGTTGAGTCTCCAGTTAAGAAGGCTGCTACCGGGGGTTTATTTGAGGACATTTTCTCCAAAGGAGGCTCCATACTATACAGATGGGCTCCGGTTAGTATATACATGTCTTCTTTATCTTCTCTATTTGTCTGCTAAGTATTACAGTTCTGATCTAAGTCATGTGATTGTTTCTTTGCTTCAATCAGATGGGATCTAAGAGGGTAGCTGAGGCTACAGAAGGAATGCTTTTGAGCACATTTGACTATGCTTGGAACAAAGGGAGTAACGGGGAACGACGACAGCTTGATTTGCTTAAGAAGCTCGGTGATCGCAAGTTTATGAGCAAGAGAAAGCCCGGGATATCAAGAGTGTTGTTTCCTTTTCTTAGTAACCAAGTTGGTATCAGAATCAAAGGAGAGAAGCATGTGCTTAAAGAAGAGAGAAAGCTAAGCTCTGATGTTGATGAAGAGAAGAGTACTAATTTCCTTAGTTCGATACTCAAACTCACCCGGTCTAGACCTCAACCAGTTTCAGACAGATTTGATGAGATGGATGGTTCTTGTACTGATTCAGTCTGTGGAGTCATACTTGAAAATGGAGGTTTTTGCAATAGAAGTCCAGTTAAAGGAAGAAAGAGATGCATAGAGCATAAAGGGCAGAGAGTTTGTCGTGTTTCACCAGAAAAGCAAACACCGCCCCCGAATCTTGAGATTTTCACCGGACAAGATCGTCACAGTCATAAAGACTCTGATGTTAGGTGTGGAGTGATCTTGCCTGACATGGAATCTTGTAGTAAGAGGGCTGTTCAAGGAAGAAAACGATGTGAAGATCATAAAGGCATGAGGATCAATGCTTTCCTCTTTCTTCTTAACCAGACAGATCGTGAGAAAACCGTCAAAGACGACAATTCTTCTGATCTCGAATCGCATAGAGAGTTAAACGAAGAAGAAGAAGAAGCTTTGACGCGCTTTTGTGAAGCTACAACGAAGAAAGGCTTACCTTGCACAAGAAGTCCTCCTAAAGGAAGCAAAAGGTGTTGGCAACATAAAGAGAAGACTTCGCCGATATGTTTTCAGCCAGAAATCATAGCTTGTGGAGTTAAATTATGCAATGGATTGACATGTGAGAGATCTCCGGTAAAAGGACGTAAGAGATGCGAAGAGCATAAGGGAATGAGAATCACCTAAAATTACCTCTTTATTATATTTGTTTACTTTGTTATTTAACGGAAAATGTTTGTACCAAACTGTTATACTTGATTACTCAAAATTTCATTTTTATTAATTCGAAATCAGTTTTGGTCTGTTCAATAAACAAATTATCTTTATTTTGGTTTCTTTCGTAATAGTAACTTTAGATGTTTTAAGATTTAAAAATATATAAACCCGCCATGTCTCCACTCTGTTACTTGGACGTCCACGACGCGAGAAACTGTAAATCACCCACCTTCTTTTTCAACTTCCGCTCATTTCTTCCATAAATCTCTCTATCATCTCCTTAGATCACATGTTACGAGAGATCTGTGGAAGAATACACATAGGCGAAGAAGAAACACAAATCAGAAACAGAGCCGCTTGTTCTGTTTTATTTTGTTTTGACAATGTCGGCTGCAGTTCTATTATTGAAGATGGCGAGGTTGAAGATTAGTCATATACGACATACCATCATTAGCATGCATAGAAACACAACCGTTATGCCCGTGCTAAGTCAACTCTTGAGCAATAGGCCATCTCATCTATTCACAATGTTACAGTTTTATCCTTTCTTTTTCACTATTATGCATCTTTATGCCTTTTAACTTAATGGTCATAATGTGTGACACATTATGTGTCACCACCAGGTTGATCGGAAAAGAATTCAGTTCTGGCGCCACCGTCCTCACTAGGTTGAAGAGAGAAGACTACAAGCTGCCTACCCACAACATCGTTTTCACCCCATGGCAGGCACTGTCTCTCTATCTCCCTTACCTAGTCTTGTTACATTGCTTTGGTCTTACACTTAATGTCTTATGTGATGATGTACATATACATGTGCATTATGAGAGCTGAGCATAAACTTATACTGCATATACAGATACTTATAGATTTCAGCGATTTTAATTACGGAAAAGGTGTCCGTAGATACAGACATGAGCACTTACCCCCTAAACATTGTGCGGGTCTGTATGAGCTCGGTGTAGCACTCACTGGTCAAGACCTACGCCAAGGTTTTGATCCTGTTGATGTTTTAGCCACATATCTAGGACATAGTGTAGACGTGAGATCAAGACTCCAGGAATATGGAAGAAGCGGTGGTCATTTGGCTTATGCTTTATATAAAGCCATTTCCTCGGAACAAGGCTCGATTTTATTTAGATATGCTCTGGTATTATGTCATCTTATCTTTTCTCGTTACTTCAGCTATATGTATAGCTTTGATCCTAACTCATATGATTGGTTAATGATCTGCGCTTTATTGTGATTTATCAGATGAGATCTAAGTGGGAAGCTGCTGCAGCAGAAAGGATGCTTTTGCGCATAGTTGATTATCCATTGAACAGATGTAATAACGGGACACGACGCGAGGTTGAGGTTGTACGAAGCTCTGTGATCCCAAGTTTATGAGCAAGAGAAAGTCACAAGTGCTGGATCCTTTTCTTGAAGACCAAGTTGTTACCAGAATCAAAGAAGAGAACCATTTGGTTAACCGGAGTAAACTTACTCATACGTTTCAAATTTGTAGTGTTGGACTGTTGCTAGTGTTTACTTGTATAGTCTCTGTTTCTAACTTATATAAGGCACAATTGTTAACCGAAATTGTTTAGGTTTGGTTTTCGATATTGGTGTACCGAAGCAATCTTTTGTAACGGTTTATTAATTTACTAATTTAAAACCAGTGACGTGTTCTCGTCAACAGTGAAAAAGTTAGGTTAAGAGCTGTCGGCAGGATCTTCACCGTCAATTTTAACAAGGACGAGTCTAATCTAACGGTGTTCTATAAGATACAAAACCAACGGCTCTGATTTGTTTTCTAAAGATCACGTTATTCACACGCCACGTGGCAACCTTTATCTATGGATTTAAATAAATTACGTATTTCAATTTGCGCACGATGAAAAATAAATAAGCCTCGAACATTGTATTATTTACAGGTAAGTAGATAGAAATCGGAATCTTATCGCCGTCGTTAAGATGCCACCGGCCGGAGAACTCCGAGATCAGTCTCCATCGAAGAATAAACAATCTTCCGATACTCAGTCAGCAGAAGCAGCAGCGGCGGCAGCAGCGATATCTGCGGCAGCTGCAGATGCGGAGGCTGCCGGGTTATGGACACAGATTAAAGCGGAAGCTCGCCGTGACGCTGAGGCGGAGCCGGCGTTAGCTAGCTATCTCTACTCGACGATTCTTTCTCATTCTTCTCTCGAACGATCTATTTCGTTTCATTTGGGAAACAAGCTTTGCTCCTCGACGCTTTTGTCCACGCTTTTATACGATCTGTTCTTAAACACTTTCACCTCTGATCCTTCTCTTCGTAACGCCACCGTCGCGGATCTGCGTGCTGCTCGTGTTCGTGATCCTGCTTGTATCTCGTTCTCTCATTGCCTCCTCAATTACAAAGGCTTCCTCGCTATCCAGGTGAATCTTCATCGGAATGACTTTTTGAAATTAATCGATTCCACAATCTAGTGAATCCGTAATTTTGTATCTTGCATTTTGATTTATGAACATCTTTTGAGTTAATTTGATTCTTCAATTAGGTGAATTTGATTTTGTTTTCAAAGATTTTTCCCAATTTGATTGTTGTGATTTGTTTTTTCGTTCGTTTGATTCCTCAGTTATGTGAATTTTGCATCATGATTTTGATTTTGTTGAATTTGAATCAGGCGCATCGTGTTTCACATAAGCTATGGACGCAATCACGGAAGCCATTAGCATTAGCTCTACACTCAAGAATCTCTGATGTATTCGCCGTTGATATTCATCCCGCAGCCAAGATCGGAAAAGGTATACTTCTCGACCACGCAACCGGAGTTGTAGTCGGAGAAACAGCTGTGATTGGGAACAATGTTTCAATCCTCCACCATGTGACACTCGGTGGAACTGGTAAAGCTTGTGGAGATAGACATCCGAAGATAGGTGACGGTTGTTTGATCGGAGCTGGAGCAACTATTCTTGGAAATGTGAAGATTGGTGCAGGAGCTAAAGTAGGTGCTGGTTCTGTAGTGTTGATAGACGTACCGCCTCGAGGTACAGCGGTTGGGAATCCAGCAAGACTCGTTGGAGGAAAAGAGAAGCCAACGAGTCAGGACGAGGAATGTCCGGGAGAATCGATGGATCATACTTCTTTCATCTCGGAATGGTCAGACTACATCATCTAAAGTTATCATTATCATTGTTTGTGTTTTTGAAAGTGCAAACCTTTCGACCATTCACTTGTAGAGAGATGTTGAGTAGCGGTTCGATGAAATGTCGGAGTGAGCTTTGTTGTATTTATGATTTACAAAACACATTAGATGTTCAACACAATAAATGGAGTTGATTTGATGTTATTATTCAATCATTAGTTATCCAAGAGTGTTACACCTCTTCCACTTTGGATTTGGGTTTGGCTCAGATTTACGGTCGTCTACATCCATTTTAAGGGCTCTACAAAGATCAAGGAGCATTGGACTTGTTCGGACCAAAGAAGAATTGGTCTCCATTTCAGTTCAGTTAACATATCTCTACTGTTTTAAGTTGAAGGAAGATAAGTCTCAAGCTAAAAGTTTTCAATCTGACTACCCAAATAGTTAAGGATCAAGACCGTAAAACCATTGAATCTCAATATTCATGAAGAATCATATTCTAATTAGGTGAAATCAACGTATATGTAAGACCAATTCGCGAATTCAAACTTTGAAACTCTCAAAATGAATTTTTATTATTTGCATCTGCAGAGTCCATCACAAAACAGTTGTTACAATGTCACAACAACAGAACATTTTACATATGTATAAAAAATGAAATAATAAACAACATTTTGTGGCTTCTTAACAACATAACTGTCGTGTTGGCTGACTACAAAAGAATGTGTTATGTAAGGATGGCTTGAATTTGTGGCTTCTTCTTCTCAAATCTCCCTACTGATTGTTCTATATCTACAAAAGCCCTAAGATTTCTCCTCAGCAATTAGAACCAATGAATCAGTAGTGCATCACACACTCAAGCCGCAGAGATTCGGGTTTTGATAGGCTTAAGCTTTAATCCCATGCTTTCAGGAGAGAGAAGCTCAGGTGCAATACAAGAAGGGCTAAGAGGACTTCTAGGGCTCTCTGTGAAAAGAGATGGTCTATACAATCCATAACCCATCAAGAAATATTCCATTGGGATCAACATTGCGTGTGGTTGCTCCTCTGTAACCATTGAACCACAAGCCTGAACCTGAAAATATCCCAAGAAAACATCCATTAGTAGCGAGAAAACCAAAACCTGTTTTGATATGTAAAGCAAAAAGGATGAGGATTTGCTTTTCCAAACCTCAACCAAAGCACAGTATCCTCTATCCAAAGTTGCTGCCATGTGAACAGCTTCTGAGTAGAAGGGAGATTGATCTCCAATGAAGATAAGTGTCCTGCATTTTAATTTCTTCAATCCACTTGAGATGTCAGGTCTCCTGCAAGAGCAAATGTTTGGTTTGCATTAAGTTAAGAAAGACAAGATATGACACCATGCATGAAGGCTGCTTAGATAAATAATTTCAAGGTGTTTGTTGTGTTACCGGTCAATGGCGTCAAGAAACCGCATAACGTTCACGCTTTGTCTCTCATCAAGCAGCTAAGAGAGTTACCAAAAGTGAAATGTGTCAATCACTGATATAGAGAGATCTATTTATTGATTAATCAGGAAAAACCAGAGGTAAATACTGACTCTTCTGCAAGCCTGCGCTATATCTGACTCCGGAATCTCGACATTACCACGGACTTCCTGTAATGTTAGGAAACCGGTTTGAATAAGAGAAGTCTGGAAATGCAACAAGTGTAGAGAGAAATGGTAACTGAAGTAAACTTACCTTACTAAAATATCTCTGAAGCAAAAATTCCTTTACCACTCCACACATTCCGTAGTAATACAACAAGTTTGACATAACCTTGTTGTAAAACCATTCAGACCAAGACGGGGCCTTGCATAATGGTGAGACAAGAATCAAACCGAGAACACGTTCTCTATGTTTCATCTGAAAAGTTTCAAACCAGAGTATAGATTATAAACACAATGTTTGTTTGAAGCAACAGACTATTAGAAGAGAAGAAAGAACAGGAACATACCGCAAATAAGGTGAGGATGTAAGCACCTGCAGTAACCCCCATACACATCACAACGCCAAGGCTGAACAAAAGTTTATACATTGTAAGTTCCAACATTTTCACTACCTAACAAAAGTTGAGAGCTTCAATAAGCCAGATATAAGGGATTCAATCATTACCCAAAAAAGTTAAGAACTTCAAGGATCTGATCTGCCAAGTCTTCAGCAGAAGGGGCAGAATCATTAGGAAAAATCGAAGCAGCTCCTAACTGCAAGAACTCTTCGTGAAAATGCAAGAAAACGATGGAATCATGTGAGTAATCACGCCAAGCAATTTAACTACCAAACTAACTTTAAAAAGAAACTAAAATATGGACCTCATGCCCAGGTGGACTGATATGATAAATGCAGAAGTTATGAAGCAGCAAAGAAGCTGCTTCAGGGCAGAAGAATAATCCTTGGAAGCATGACATATCTGAAGAATGAAGCAACAAAGACATTAAAAAACATCAGCCAAACAGACAATACATTCATGCCCTTAAATATTCTTTTACACACTTACGATTAAGGGCCAAATCAGGATAAGTAACCAATGCTGGCTTTTCTCGGTCACCATAGACAATGACAGACACAACACCACTCGCTGTTTTGACACGATGCTCCTAAACACAAGAAACTAGCAAAGTTTAACAAAAGTAACATGAAACCAACAGAATACTAAGCTCTATAAGCTATAACCATACACTATCTCATACCATTGTCTTCTCCATATTGTTAATACATGTGTTTGTTTATTATCTCCATATCTAGTAAACAATGAATCTACATTCTATTTTGTAACTGTATACTAAAGATAGGAATATGACAACTGACTTTAGGTGGAAAAGTAATATATATGAATACACACAATAAAGAAAGAAACACAAAATGAAAAATCTCTGTTAAAGCTTAGCCATGTGCAGCTTTACCACTTTAAGGGCCAAAAACAAAATCAAAACTTCATCATCAACAACCAAAGGGGATGGCCTAATGCTAATGATTGTAATTATTTATAAAAAAGGGAATGACAGTGTTAAAAAGATGAGCTAATATGAGTGTTAATGAGATAATAAAGAAGCATTAGTCTTATTAAACAATGGATTAAAGGTAGACAAAAACAGCTGGCGTTTTCTTTTTTCCATTTTTATATATGAAGAAAAACAAATCAAAAGGCAATAAGACAAGAATAAGGAATACAAAAGAAGAAGAAGATATCTTTGAATAGAGAAGAAGATCCCAAGAATAATCCCATCTGGAAAGAATCATAAAAATAAGAAGTTTCACGAATCCACAAGCAAAGAATTTGTTCAAGAACCAAAAAAACAAAAAAAAACTTGATCAAATGTGTGAAAATGGCAATCATTTGATTCATAGAAGAGACTGAATCTAGCAATGCCCACATATCTTAATCAGAAAACTAAGGGAACAAAATGTATGTTCCTCCTCAAAATCACAGAGAGATTGATTCTAATTAGATTTAAGCAAGTTTTTAAGATAAACCCATAAACAAAAGCTTCAAACTTTGATTCGGATCCGATGTCAAGAAACCAAATACAAACGAGAAAGATTTGAAATGAACCTTGCCACCAAGATAGATCGTTTCAACGTCGACGGAAACGGCGCCGTATGAGTCCGCCATTGGCAACAAAAGCTCCTCAGCTTCCGCCGTCGCCGTCGTCGTTTTTATTACAGCTGGATAACAAAGAGTTCTGTTGTTTCTTCTTCTTCTTCTTCTCCCAACCTCTAGATTGTTTTTTGGCTTTTCTATAGCTTATATACAAAGCGAATCCTTTTTCTCTTTCTCTCTCCTCTCTCTTAAGACCTCTCTGGAAAAAGAAACGATTTTTTTGTATATTATTTTCTTTTTTTTCTTTCTTCTTCGTTTTTTAGTCTCTCTTTAAAATTTGCGGTGATTTCTCCATAGACGCCGGTAGTCGTAACATGACACGGGAACGGTCAAAAAAAACTTATAAAAATAATATAACATTTGCTTCATTTGATTTTATCATAAAAATGTAACAACACAATATTTTATCAAGACAAGTTGAGGAAGGTGGGAAAATTTGGTTGCGAACTTGCAAAAAAGGAAAAAAACCGAAATTAACTTTTCATATAATGACTACAATTTTGGCCTTTGCATAACATATTATATTTTTTGATAACTAATATTCATAAGTCAATCAATTAAAATAAAGTCTACTAATAAAAGATGATGCTTGATTATTTTGGATAACTAATATTTTTGTGTTTGTTTGATCATCTTTGCACCAAAAAAAAAAGTTCAAACTTCTGATAATTATTTCTCTGTTCACCAAATTAACTATGTATATATAAAGAATTTTTGGAATAGTTGGATTTTTTTTATTAGACATTTTAGACAAAGGGAATGTGAATATGAAAAACAATAACAAAATGGGGCGTTCCGAGAATCGAACTCGGGACCTCTCGCACCCAAAGCGAGAATCATACCACTAGACCAAACGCCCTCATTGAAATGAGAGCTAAATAGAATGAATCAAACGTATTCTAAGAAACCTAAATTAGGTTTTCTACTTGGGCCTTTAACGGGCCTTGCAAAAAGTCACGCGCGGTTCATGTGGTGTATATTTCTGCAGCTACTATGCGGTCGCATAAAAGAGTAGCTGACTGATTGTGTATCGCTCTCTCCGCATTTCCATTAACCCTCCAATTTTCCCGCCTTAGTCTCACTCTCTTCCCGCCTTAGACTCGCCGGAGAATCCATGGTTCAGAAGCAGCAAGCCGCCGCCGGTCCAGATACCGAGCCTAAGAAGCGTCGTCGTGTCGGGTTTTCTCCCGCCGGTGAGTCATTTCTGTTCTTTGTTCGTTTTAGCTGCGCTCGCGATTACCACTTTCGTAGCTCCGACTCCGTTTTTTTTTATCTTTAATCCGTTGATCTTTCTTATGTGAAGATACTGGTGTGGAGGCTAACGAGTGCATCAAAATCTATCTCGGTGCGTATTTTGCTTTGAATCATTTCAGTTTGATTTGGGAATATAGTTTCGTACGGAAATTAGGGTTTCGTTTCCTGGTTTTGATTTTTTGCTGCAATTAGTTGGTCGTGCTTCCATATTTGTAGTTCTTTTGAGTTTTCCGGCTATGTTTGTTGCAATTTGTATCTGGAATGGCTATACTATTCGTTGTTAGAACATCATAATGTGATGTGAAGTCTTTGATTTGTTCTTAAAGTTATTCAAATTGGTATTAAATGGTAGTTCTCAGTTGTTGTCTTGTTGAACATGTAGAGCACTGAGGTTTTTGTTGATTTATGTGTTTGTCTTTCTTCCATATGATATTTAGTTCCATGAGTCATACAAGTATTTTCTGTGTAAAGCTTCGTTAGGTTGTTTGTGTTGGTACATAATTTTGACATCTGTTTTCGTGATGGTTGATTTTCTAGTTTCCAGCAAAGAGGAAGTTGATTCCCCTGATATTTCGAGTGTGAAGCCAGTTGACTTGAATGATTTCATTGATGGAGATGGCAAGATATATGGTTACCAAGGTTTGAAGGTAATGTGGATCTACCCTGAAAATTAAATTTCTGGTTTCGATTGTTGTAATTCTGTTCTGAAATAATCTGCCTGTCAATTTCATTTGTTTCAGATTAATGTATGGATCAATAGCATCTCATTACATTCATATGCTGATATTACATACCAGAGCACAACCAACGTAAGCATTGATTTTATTTTCTATACGTTGGATTGTTTTTTATATGGCCTTTTTAGAATGAAACTGACCTTGGAGCATCATGATCCTGTTATGTTTTGGTATGTATTTCAAGGGAGACAAAGGCATCACGGACCTGAAATCTGCTTTACAGGTACCAATCAAATTTAATGTCTCATCTTATTTGAGATACTTGCTTGTTTTTTGCTATCCTTTTCTTACTCTGATTGTCTGCTTCATTCAACCCAGAACATATTTGCTGAGACCATTGTTGATGACAAGGAAGAATTTCTACAAACCTTTTCAACACAGAGAGATTTTATCAGGTGCATACCTGCTGAATGCTTTCGTACTATTTCAAAATTGTCCCAAAGTATTTCGGATAGGTTTCCCTTTGTAGTCTCTGTATAATGTTGAACATTTTCATTGAATGTTCTAGAAATATGGTCTCTGACGGAGAGGTAATGCATTCTGGAGCGACAGATGGAAGCAACAACAATGCTGAAATGGTTTCTTCAGATCTCCAGGTTGGTTTTTTTTGATATGTTTCATTTATCCTGTAATCTTAATAAGTTTGAGAAAATTAGTTTGAGATGCTTTCATCAACTGTGAGCTGCAAATTTATAATGAAAGAAATTAATCAATTATGGTTGATTATCCTCAGGTTATACGGATGCAAATTGGTTCTCCAAATGCCGGACTCCTCTATAGCCGATTGGTGCCTCTTGTTCTTCTTTTTGTTGATGGTATACACCCACCCACCTTGCTCTTTCAAATCATCTTGAAACTTTTTGTTTCCTCTAGTTAGCAGTACTAACAATACATTGGCCCATTCTTTTTATCAGGCAGCAACCCGATTGATGTCACTGATCCTGACTGGCATTTATATCTCTTAATTCAAAAGAAAGAGGACAAGGATGATCCGTTGTATCAAATTGTGGGCTTTACTGCTATTTACAAATTCTTCCGTTATCCTGACAGGTTACGGATGCGACTCAGCCAGGTATAGTAATAGATAAAGCCCAAAGACCTGAATCCTTCATGCAATATTTTCGATTTGACTGTTTATACCTTTTGTTTGGATTTCAGATCTTGGTCTTACCGTCCTTTCAAGGAAAAGGACTCGGAACCTATCTCATGGAGGTAGTAAACAATGTGGCTGTAGCAGAAAATGTTTACGATTTGACAGTGGAAGAGCCATCTGAAAAATTCCAACACATTCGTACTTGCCTCGACCTAAACCGCTTGCGCAATTTTGATCCAATCAAACCAGCCATTGATTCAGCCGTTCAGACTCTCACAAAAGGAAAACTATCGAAGAAAGCTCAGATACCTCGATTCACCCCACCTTTGACTGCCATCGAGAAAGTCCGCGAATCTCTGAAGATCAACAAGAAACAGTTTCTCAACTGCTGGGAGATTTTGATATATCTTGCACTTGGTCCTATCGACAAGTACATGGAAGATTACACATCTGTCATCACAAACCATGTGAGAAGCGACATTCTGGGAAAAGATATAGAAACTCCAAAGAAACAGGTCGTGGATGTTCCGAGCGAGCACGAGCCTGAAGCATCGTTTGTGGTTTTCAAATCTCTCAATGGAGAAGAAGCTAATACCAATGTTCAAGTTGATGAAAACAAACCGGATCAAGAGCAGCAGCTGAAGCAACTGGTTGAAGAAAGGATTCGTGAGATCAAGTTGGTTGCTGAGAAAGTCTCTATGGGTTGTCCAAAGGCAAAAATCTGATTGGAATCAGAACTTTGTGAGACCTTTTTTTTTTATTAGAGCTTTTTGTTCAATGATCAAATCATCAAACTATGTCTTTCAGAAGGACAAATCTGTTTGTATCCGTTTTGTAGTAGAGGAGGTTGTTAAGTAAACTAATGTACTTCCGGTTAAATGGTTACGTCCAGTTATGATTAGACTATATATGTAACTTGAATGTTCCGATCGAGTTTTTGCGGAAACCGAAATCCGGTTACGGAAACCAAATGGTGGTCGTTAAATTTACCGGGTGAACCGGGAAAGATACTTGTCAAGACCAGAAAAAACATAAGAAGAACAAATCTCGAAGGTGGGGGACTATTGTGTAGGCATGACCAAAAGCTAACCTTAACCGTATTTTTAACCGTAACCGGACCGTTTATCAACCGTAACCGGACCGTAACCGTATAAAACGGTTAAAAATTGTAACCGTTAACCGTAAAAGTAAATTAGTTACGGTTAAAAAATAATAATAACCGTAACCGTTAATTAACCGTAACCATAATTAACCGTAATTAATCGTCGGTTAACCGTACGGTTAAACGCTCGGTTAACCGCATATTTAAATTTTTAAAATAAATTATATTATAACTGTATACAATACCCAGATTTAACTAATTCACTATAAATAATTGAAATCACATATATTTTTTACTTGTAAAATAAATAATATTTCATAAAATTTTATCTCCAATATTAATATTATAATAATCATCAAATAACCGTAACCGTATTTAACCGTAACCGTAATTAACCGTAACCGTATATAACCGTAACCGTCTTAACCGTATATATAATGATTAAGGTTATGGTTAAAAAAATTATAACCGTTAACCGGTGGTTAATTAACCATAACCGCATTAACCGTAACCGTGGTCATGCCTACTATTGTGCCGTCTCCTAAAGGGCGAAGAGTTTGTTTCGTGTTCTGTTTGATAAAACGATTTTGATTTTGACAGAGTGAGGCAGAGAGGGAGAGTGTAAGAGAGAGAGATGGATTTGATTGCGGGAGAGAGCTCGAAGGTCTTAAAGAAACATGGATTCAGGTCGCTGAAACTGATGAGTGTGGACATGGAACAAGAACTCGGGAATGAGCCTGAGCCTTTCGGTGCTGATTACGGTAGACTCGATAATGGTCTCGTCTACTATGTTCGCCGAAACTCGAAGCCGAGAATGAGAGCCGCTCTAGCTCTCGCCGTTAAAGTCGGGTAGCTCTTCTTCTTCTTCTTTTATTCTGGAGACATTTGAATTTAATTTGTTCTTCGTTGATGAATCGAAATTACTGGCAATTGAGTTTTTCTCGCTGAGTTTTTGGGTTTTCTCTTTTGTACTGAGTCGAATTGTTAATTTATTTGATCACTTTAATTGATTTGATTTATGATTCTTCTGGTGACTTTTTATAAAAACAGATTTGTGGCATGCATGAGTATATTCGTAGTGTATGAGAATAATATATCTCATTATACCAAAATGGGCTATATGATTCGTATAGCTTTCTTGCTCTTCTAGAATTTGGGTGAAGTTTAGTTGAATTATGCAATCTCTTGACTGGATCGCATAATTAGTTGAATTATGCAATTTGTTGAGTGGATTGTGTAATTAGTTGAATTTTGGAATATATTGATGCTGACAGACCTTTTGCTTCATTGGCAGTTCAGTTCTGGAAGAAGAGGATCAGCGTGGAGTTGCTCATATTGTAGAGCATCTTGCATTTAGTGCTACAACGAGATATACAAACCATGATATTGTCAAGTTCTTAGAGAGCGTCGGAGCAGAATTTGGGCCCTGTCAAAACGCAATGACCACAGCGGATGAGACCATATATGAATTATTTGTCCCCGTTGATAAGCCTGAGTTGCTATCTCAGGCTATTTCCATTTTAGCAGAGTTCAGCTCCGAGGTAATGTCTCTGTGATTCTTTCTTATCCCTTTCTTTTGCTTCGTTTTTTTTTTCTGTAAGAAATCTGTGCGTGGTTTGTTTAGATTCGAGTCTCGAAGGAAGATTTGGATAAAGAAAGAGGGGCTGTTATGGAAGAATACCGAGGGAATAGAAATGCTACTGGAAGGATGCAAGATTCGCATTGGCAGCTGATGATGGAAGGTTCAAAGGTATGGGAGGTCTTTAGTTAATCATTTTTGCAGTTTAGAAGAGATTCCAATCTGTTCATAAAAAGGACTTTCCATTGAACGCAGTACGCTGAACGTTTACCTATTGGGTTGGAGAAAGTGATTCGATCTGTTCCTGCTGCAACTGTGAAGCAATTTTACCAGAAGTGGTATCATTTATGCAATATGGCAGTTGTGGCTGTTGGAGATTTTCCAGATACAAAGGTACTTTATGACTGTGATATCACTTTTGTTCCATGGCTACTCAAGCATTTATGATTATCTTGTAAGGTCAGACTTTGTTGATAATCCGTGTTTCTAGACTGTAGTTGATTTGATAAAGACACATTTTGAAGATAAAAGATCAAGTAGTGAGCCTCCACAGATACCAGTGTTTCCTGTTCCTTCTCATGAAGAGACACGGTTTTCTTGCTTTGTTGAGTCAGAGGCAGCTGGGGTTAGTCAAATTTATTCTCCAAACGTCTTCCATAGTAGCATGATGTCAACTTCCAAACTGCTAAGCTTCTTTTGTGCTCTTTGGCTTGTAGTCTGCAGTAATGATTAGCTATAAGATGCCTATAAGTGATCTGAAGACAGTGAAAGATTATAGGGATATGCTTGCAGAGTCAATGTTTCTACATGCTCTTAACCAGAGACTCTTCAAATTATCTCGTAGAAAGGACCCCCCATTTTTTGCATGTTCTGTTGCTGCTGATGTCCTGGTGAGCCCATTGAAGGCCTATATAATGAGTTCTTCTTGTAAAGAGAAAGGAACTCTTGCATCTCTAGAGTCTATGCTTCTCGAGGTCTCTTCTCCTTTTCCCTCTATTGCAAGTCTTCTTCACTTCCTTGTTCCACCCCTTCATTGGTTTTCTTGTGGTTTAGGTTGCTAGGGTACGCCTTCATGGGTTCTCGGAGCGTGAAATATCTGTTGTTCGGGCTCTAATGATGTCCGAGATTGAATCTGCTTATCTGGAACGTGATCAGGTCCAATCGACCAGCTTGCGGGATGAATATATACAGGTAAAACCTGTGATGAATTTTTAATGCTCTACATCCTGTCTTTCCCCTCTTCAAAATCTTGTTTATACATGTGATTCATCTTGCAGCATTTCCTTCACAAGGAACCTGTTATTGGGATTGAATATGAGGCACAACTTCAGAAGACTCTTCTACCCCGTGAGAACATGCATACTCTGCTTATAGAACGTAGTCAGTATAGTACCATTGTTTGTTATTAACTCGTATAAATTACATTGGTTCCTCTTTGATGCAGAAATATCAGCGTCAGATGTTGCCAGATACTCTGAAAAGTTAAGAACATCATGTGGTTGTGTGATCAAGACAATGGAACCTAGATCTGCTGCTACGATTGATGATTTGAGAAATGTTGTCTCAAAAGTTAATAGTCTGGAAGAAGAAAAGATGATTGCTCCATGGGATGAGGAAAAGATTCCAGAAGAAGTTGTCAGTGAGAAGCCAACTCCAGGGTAAGCTCTGAACTATAACTTTGTAGGTTTGCTGACAAGGAATGGCCAAGGTCACCCGCAAGTAGTGGCTTCTTTATCTTTTGATTTTGGCTCCATGACTATAGTTTTAAGAAATTGTCTTGGCCGTAAATAGAGATCGTAAAAGCTAATATCTTTGGGCAATTGTCAATTACCTCATGAGCTAACTAGTTATGAAGATTTTTCTGAAGAAACATAATAAGATCGTATCTCTAAGTCTTTTACTAAACTCGATGACTCTTTGTTAAACTAAAAGTAGGCAGAGCTCAACTGAAATGCATATATTTTTTCATTTCTTATTTCTCATTTGTCACTAATGTTTAATGAAGGGAGGTTACTCACCAGCTTGAATATCCAGAAGTTGGGGTTACAGAATTGACATTATCAAATGGAATGCAAGTTTGCTACAAGTCCACAGACTTCTTGGACGATCAGGTGCAATATTAACTGAGAGCTACATATTGTTAAATAAGCATGTGTGTGTGTGTATATATGTTTTATGTTTCTGCATAGATGGCAATGTATTAAGTTCTGAGTATTGTTTCATAACTTCATGATTGGCCTTATTCCCCTTCTAGGTTCTTTTTACCGGGTTCTCATATGGAGGACTATCTGAACTCCCTGAGAGTGATTACATTTCATGTTCAATGGGATCAACAATTGCTGGTGAAATTGGTATGTTTGGTTATAAACCATCAATGCTTATGGATATGCTTGCTGGTAAGAGAGTTGAAGTTAGCGCAAGACTTGGACCGTATATGAGAACCTTTTCTTGTGATTGTTCACCCACAGACCTTGAAACTGCTTTGCAGGTTTGCCTTCTTCCTCCTGCACATGAATGTGTATTTTCTAAGTTCTTTCAGTTTGATCTCAGGCTTGTTACTAACATATATGGCTGAAAACCTCGCAGTAGACTTCATCGAGACATTAACTATGACATCTTCGATTTATACTTCATTAACCATGACATGTTTGACTGAAACCTACAGTAGAGTTCATTAACGTATTTGCTAACATCTAAATGATGGGACTTCGATATATTGTGCATCCTAAACTGTTTTGCATTCTTCTTCTTTTTTTTCCTCTAATAATGTTTCAACTTTCTTTGGATTGTACTTGCATTATCTTGGCAGTTGAACTTGGTTATACTTCTTTGCAGCTTGTTTATCAACTTTTTACTACAAACGTGATGCCACAAGAAGAAGAGGTAGGAATAGTAATGCAAATGGCAGAAGAAGCAGTTCGTGCTCGGGAAAGAGACCCTTACACTGTCTTTGCCAATAGAGTAAAGGAACTCAATTATGGAAATTCTTATTTCTTTAGGGTAATGATATCTTACTTCTTTTTTTCAAAATGACTAATTTCTTGTTAAACGCACAACTGATCTGACCCCTAGTCTATGATGTGTAGCCGATTCGGATTAGTGAACTCAGGAAAGTTGACCCATTGAAGGCTTGTGAATACTTCAACAGTTGCTTTAGGGATCCATCAACTTTCACAGTCGTGATTGTAGGGAACCTTGATCCTACTATCGCGCTTCCTCTAATTCTTCAGTATTTGGTAAGTTAGATCACATCACTGATAATACAAAAAGTAAGCTCGGGATAATTGACTACATTTTTGCGCTCACTTTATGCAGGGTGGAATATCTAAGCCTCCTCAACCAGTTCTCAATTTCAACCGTGATGACCTTAAGGGCTTACCATTCACTTTTCCTACTAAGATAACAAGGTAAGTTGTATCTTAATTTGATCTACATCGATCAAACAGAGACAATGATACTGTGTATTTCCCTTGATAAATTACATATGTGACTTTATACGTGGAAATATTACAGAGAATTTGTACGAAGTCCAATGGTAGAAGCCCAGTGTTCAGTTCAGTTATGCTTTCCTGTGCAGTTAACAAATGGAACAATGGTAAGGGACTCTGCTTTATCATCTGAACGTAGCCTGCGTTGATGACATTAATGCCATTTGTTTTCTTGTCTTTAGAAGAAGATTTTGAAATACAATTGCTTCATACCATTAATTTTTATGATAGATTGAAGAAATCCACTGTATCGGCTTTTTAGGCAAACTCCTAGAGACCAAGATAATTCAGTTTCTCAGGTTCACACATGGACAGGTATATTCGGCTCTTTGTATTAGTTTTCTGTGATGATCACACCAGGCCTTTAGTGACCTAACTTACCTATTAAGCAGATATATTCTGCTGAAGTCTCAGTGTTTCTTGGCGGGAATAAACCGTCTAGAACTGCAGATTTGCGTGGTGACATCAGTGTAAATTTTTCTTGTGATCCAGAAATCTCCTCTAAACTGGTATGTCCATTGTACAATCATACGATCGATAATGATTTCTCAATATCTTTGGCTGCCTTTTGGTTACCAAAGCCACCTCTTTGTCTTTCAGGTAGATTTAGCTTTGGAAGAAATTGTACGGCTTCAAGAGGAAGGCCCTTCGCAGGAAGACATTTCAGCCATCCTTGAAATCGAACAAAGAGCTCACGAAAATGGCCTGCAGGTTTGTTTGTTCTTGCCTACTATTCACAATCACAAATCCGTGACAAACAAAACACATATTTTGCTTCAGAACAAAAACGGATTTTATTTTCTGTTCAGGAAAACTATTACTGGTTAGACAGGATTCTACGTGGATACCAATCAAGGGTCTACTCAGGCGATTTGGGCGCCTCTTGCAAGGTCAGTTACTGTCAATACTCAATAGCTGTTATCATTCTTAATAAACAGTCTTTATATAAAGGGAAGAAACTTCTCTATGGTTTTCAGATCTTAGAAGAAGGGCGTTTGCGAATGAGAGAGTCACTTGCACCACAAACAGCGCAAGCTGCACTACAGCGAATCCTTCCTCACCCGTGCAAGAAACAGTACACTGCTGTTATTCTCATGCCGCAGAAGTCTCGTTTTGGATTTCTTTCATCTATCTTTGGTTCACGGTCCGAGACCCCTTATATCCGTGACACCAAGGTCAGTGTTTATCTGTTCTTTGTCTTGTCTCCATAACTGTAATTTTGCAGTCACTAAAAAAAAATGTCTCTTCGGTTACCAGATTTTGGCGGGCATTGCGAGTTTGGCTGTTCTTGTTTTTGGCATCTGGAGATACTCTCGCAAGTAGAAGTATGTTCTCACTGTTTTGTTTTGATGTTTGTTTATTTTTTCAATTTTCTGATTTTTTAACCTCTAAGACTTTAGAGCTTTACAATGTATCAATGAACCTCAGCGTTTATTATGTAAGTTCCCATTATTTTACAACAAATTTAGAAAGACAAATTTATTTCGTTGCTACATTGTTTGTGCCATGACTCCCATAGTTTTCTACTTTTGGTCTATACATTGAGACAGGAGTAGGCCAAGTCCTTCTCTTCAGCTAGCTCTCGTGCAGAGTCATCCATTTTCTTCCTTGAGAACTCGTCTATACCGAGTCCTTGTACGATCTTCCAACTCCCTTTCTCACAGATAACTGGAAACGAGTAAACCAAACCAGGTGGTATACCATATGAGCCATCAGAATAAACACCCATAGAAACCCAAGTTCCTTTAGGGGTTCCAAGAATCCAATCACGAATATGGTCACAAGCTGCGCTAGCAGCGGATAAAGCACTCGACTGTTTTCGTGCTCTTAAAACGGCTGCACCTCGTTGCTGAACTTCTGCAACAAAATCGTTCTTCAGCCAGTTATGATCTGTGACAAGTTCTTTTATTGGTCTATCTCCAGTTTGTGTAGAGACCGTTGCGTGGTTGGGGTCGGGATATTGAGTTGAGGAATGGTTTCCCCAAATGACGACATTTTTCACACTGCTCACAGGAACACTCAGCTTATCTGCAAGCTGAGATAGAGCTCGATTGTGGTCGAGCCGTGTAAGACAAGTGATATTTTCTTCTGGGATCGATGGTGCAAACTCTTTTAAAATCAGAGCATTTGTGTTTGCAGGGTTTGCTACAACAAGAACCTTGCAATCCTCTGATGCATAATGCTCTAAAGCCGAAGCTTGAGCTTTATAGATCACAACATTTTTCGACATAACATCTTTTCTTTCCATGCCTGCTATCCTTGGGTACCCTCCGATCATTATCGCGATATTCACATCTTTACATGCTTCAACAACATTAGTTGTCGCGATAACGCCTTTGAGAAGAGGGAAGGCTGAATCTTGAAGCTCCATCTTGACAGCTTCCAGTGATCTTGAGGCTGGTTCTATATCAAGTAAATGCAGAATCATGGGTTGATCTGGACCTAGCATAAGACCTCTTGCAATCATTGGAGCAATTGCATATCCTATGTTTCCTGTTCAATACAAAGTTTCCACTTAAATTAAGAACAGCATGGGTAGACAAAAAGACTTTAAACAAAAAAACGAACCAAAGCTGATCATAGGGGTTGACAATGACATTACCTGCTGCACCTGTAATTAAAACCCTTACGGGATCGTTCTCAATGTTTAACAAATTACACATGTATATTATCATTTTCCATGACAGAGCAACACAAAACAATAGAACCAAAACTTTCTGAATCACAGAACTATAATCAATTCCTTCTGTAACGAAATCCATTTTTTTCTTCCAAGTAAAATATGATCAAGTAACGAATGGGTGCTCTTCATGCTTTTACAAAGTTCAGTTTATAAAGCTAAACAAACCAAAGGAGACATAAGGAATCTATGAAAAGCTTCTAAGAGGACATAACCTGATACTTACAACACTTTGTCTTACAAAACTCTCAAGTCATACAAGAACAACAACAAAGAATCTCAATCTATGAAAAGAAATGTCCTCCAATAAAAGATCCTTAAACTTATTTTGATAACAATGGGAAATTTATTATTCCTTCACTACTTCGTAGCCCGTACGGACGAATAATCTAGTTTACGGTTCGGTTTCGTATCAATTTTAATGTTTTTTTCGGTGTTTGGTTTTAACGGTTATTCAAACCAATCGGTTTGGGCCTTTGATGGGCTAATAAAAATTACAAAAGCGTAAGAAATCGACCCATTAAAGCCCAATAGATTATTTAGGGTTAACTCAAAGTGTCGCATATATATGCTTACTACTCCTCCCTCGTCGCCTTTCTGTTTCTCGACGTTCTTCAACCCAAAGGTACTCTCTTTTTTCTCCCAATCTAGCTCAATTCTGCTTACTTTGACCTAGCAGCTCACAGATCTGTGTTTAGTTTTCCGATTAGAAAGTATCGATTTTGAAGTGGTTTTTGTAATGGGTAATCGCAGGTAAAGAGTTAGTCACAGGCAAAAGAGAAGATGTCTGAGAAAAAGGGAAGGAAAGAGGAAGTGGTGACCAGAGAGTACACCATTAACCTCCACAGACGCCTTCACAAATGGTGAGCTTTCCCTGAACCCTAATCTCTTAGGTGCCTCGTTTTAGATATCACTCGTTGTTGTTCATTAGTAGCTGCTTGATGTGTTAATTTGATACGCCAGTTTCTGTCATATCATAGTTGCAAGATTCTTAGACTTGCTTTGGTGTGATCCTGGTCCTTTATGAGCATATCATTTTCTAAATATAATTAGAGGTTTGGTCCATAAAAGAGAGTTTGAAACTCATTGTGTTGTTGAATTCCTTGGGAAATGATATCTGATGTTGTAAACAAATCGTTTTCAGTGTTCAAATCTGGTTTATTGGTTACTGATTGTTTGCTTTGGATCCAATTTATCGAAATCTAATGTTGAAAGCTTGAAATGAATAGATATAGTTCATTTGATAAAATCTTATACATATTAGTGTAATGTTTGTGGAATTTGTTTTTTTTGGTAGGTTTAGTTGTGATTGAGAACCTTTACTTATGCATAGTTTATTTGTTACAGTACCTTTAAGAAGAAGGCACCAAATGCCATTAAGGAGATCAGGAAGTTCGCAGAGAAAGCTATGGGTACGAAGGACGTTAGGGTAGACGTGAAATTGAACAAGCAAATCTGGAGCAAAGGAATCAGAGGTCCACCAAGGAGGATCAGGGTTCGTGTTGCACGTAAGAGAAATGATGACGAAGATGCAAAGGAAGAGTTCTTCTCCCTTGTCACTGTTGCTGAAATCCCTGCAGAAGGACTCAGTGGTCTTGGCACAAAGATCATCGAAGAGGAGGATTGAGAGAGTCTTTAGAACAAGTTTTGTTGGTTTTTTACTTTTGCTGCTGTGTTTCAATTTAAAAAGTCTTGACCTTTCACTTTCTTCTCTGTAGTGAACCAACTTGAATTTGCTTATGCAGTTTATTGAAGAGACCCATTTTCTTCTTAGTGACTGAATCTTGTTTTTGCTGCTAAATTGTTGATTGATCCTCACATTTATGCGAGTAACCTTAGAGATTATAAAGATGAATCTCAGTATCAAATGTCAAGGCACGACCTAACTTCTTTGTGTCTTATTCGGAAACAAGTGTAACATCATATGTTCTTGGATAACAAAACAACAACTCTTGGATCATTAACAAGTTTCTATAACATAACATCACATGTGCACGACTGATGTAGATTTCAAGCAACAAGCATGTTTGAAGAAAAAACTCAAGAAGTCCCTATCTTCTTGTTCGTCACTGTTGTACCCTTCAAACTTGAAAGTCTCAAGACTATTCAAGAGGCATTTAGGAACAAAGCCCTGATTACTTCTCGAACTAAGCGGATCATAATACCCATAACAATGAATGAACTGAAAATTAAAAAAGAAGAGTTAAAATCACACCAACACACCATATTGTGCTTTACTGTGGTTTGACAAAGAAAAACTTACATCATCGACCAAGAGATTAAGGATTTGCAGATTAGGAGAATCTTTGAGCAGCTGGACAAGTAAGTTTGACCAATTTTCGCTGCATTTATATAGCTTCAAATTTTCAAGCTGCCTGAAGACAATACCATCGGAATACACATTCTGCAGTAATAACAAAGGATTTAGTAAACTCAAGAAAATATGCTTTAGTGTTCTAAGTGAAATAGTGATATTGAAAACTTGTGGAGAGATGGAAAACATATCACCACTTCTTCACTGTTGAATCTTACGCGAACTGAAAGACGTTTAACAGTTGTGATTGATTTGAGAAGCATTTCAGTAGATTTCTCATTTTTAAGCCATAGACTGATATCTGCCTCTTCTGAGATGAATCGACAAAGAGAGGAAAAGGAGAACCAGAAGGTGTTTAGTTCATCGCCAGTCGTTGGAATCGCAGAACTTTGTCGTCGACCACACCAGTCAAACAGACTGCCAGCATCAGGCTGTTGGGCTTGCCTTTGGGCTTTAACAAATGGTTTTTTTCTTTCTTCTTTGTAGAGATGATCAAAGATGTATTTCTTAAACAAGCATATAAATGGGACTACTTTACGAAAGTACTTGAGCATAAGGGGTTGGTTTTCTTCTTTGATAAAAAGACTTGAGTCTCAAGGCGCACACACATACAAATTGTAGGTTATAAAAGCATATATGATCAGAGGATATAAGTTAACCCACATGACAGATATATAAGAGGGCAAAAGTTTTGTTCGAAAGCAAGTTCCACATCTAGGTGATTAAATACCCCTTAATTCTTGGAAGACAAAACAAACCTAAAAAACCCTATAAATGGATCATCCATTTTTACTCGAGATTGACAAAGACTTCAAGGGACGGACATTTTTCAATATGAAAGTCAAGAAATCTCTCTCTTCTGGTGTTCCAATGTACCCTGAAAACTCAAAGGTTTCAAGACTATCACACAAACATTTAGGAACAGAGCTCTGGTCAATACTGCCCTGTTCATAATACTCCCCATAAGTTCCATAAACCTGAGACAACAGTATGACAGAGTTAATAAGATACTCAATACAGTGGTTTTAGACCCCAAAAAAAAAAAGAGACACAAAGAAACTTACATCGGTGTGGAGATTGAGGACTCGCAGTTTAGGAGAATATTTGAGCAACGGGACAAGCAACATCGACCAATTATCGTTGGCAACATGTAGCTTCAGATGTTCAAGCTGATTAAAGGCAATACCAACACTATCCACAGACTGCACACGTGAAATAAGAGTAGCTTAGAAATCATAGATCTCAAGAAAACATGAATTTAATGTTCCAAAGTGTTACCTCTTCTTGAAAGCTGAAGAATGTGTCTAACGAAAGACGTTTGACAGTTGTGATTGATTTGAGAATGTCTTCAATATCAAGTCCATTGATATCTGCCTCTTCCAGCTCGGGCATATGCGTAGTCAACCAGGGGATATACTATCTCCCCAATCCACAACTTTGAAATACTTCAAAGAAGGGGTATCTATCAAAAACCCATCAGAAGACCATGTATTATACATACTCAAATAGAAACGCTGCAAAGACGAACTAATAACAACTATTGCTCCCACATTTGCTTCCCCATATCGTTCGATACTCAGATCTTCCAGAACAGGGCAAGAGGATACAAGCAGTTTGAGAGAATCTTCGTTTGCGTATGTCACATCTTCAAGTTCCAAATTTTTCAACAAAGGGAGAAAAACCATTTGAGGAACATCTACGAGTATCTTCTTGCCTTCAAGTTTCAAAGTCACCAGTGATTTGCATGTATACAAACTACACGGCAACAATGCAACAGATTTGTAATGCAAAGAGTAATAGCTAATACTCAGCTCACGCACGCAGCGAGAAACTGCAATTGCAGCCCACGGTTTGATATCCTCAGGTTGAACTGAATTGAGAGTAAATATGAGGCGCAAGCTTTCAATAACCAGAGCTCTGTGTAATGGCAGGTACTTGTCGATGAAATCCCGATACCTCACAAGTGTAGACTTTGAAGTGCAGGAATTAGTAATGTCACGGTAATCAAGATAATCAAGTTTAGGCAACCACATCCAAAGAAACTTCCATTGTTTCGAGAGAATGCTCGTTGATACAGCAACTTTTGTAGGAAGAAAGGATAATATCTTCACCAGCAAATCATCAGACAAGCAACTGAGTGTAGCCATATATCACTTTACACCCCCACCCCCCCCCCCTAAAGATACAGTCGACAGGGAACTTGGGTTTCCAACCCTGGAAAGAAAAATAAAATCAACAAGAAAACAAAACCTAAAAATAAAAAGATTTGTCTGAAATCCAAAAGAAACAAATTAGCAACAAGTGAATGAAGAAGTAAGGAACAGAAGAAAAAACCTAGAAAACTCAGGTAATGTGTGCGTGTGTGTTTTTTTTTTTTTCTGCTCGAAACCTAGAAATCTCAGCTCGATTTCTGCTTGAGAACCCACACAATTAGTAGATAAACTGGAAGCACCAGAGGAACTGAGAAAGCTATTTTGGAAACTGAACAAACCTTTCAACTCTGAATAGGACTGAGTGTTTCTGAGCTAGGAATTGAGAAATGGTAGAGTCGAAACAAAGTTTGAATCTAGAAAGTGAAAGAGAATGGAGAAGAAGGAAGTACGTTATTAGAAATTACCAGAATTGCAGGATTATCTCCAATTCTCCATTCAAGTAAATAAAAACAGAAAAATGGCTAAGCTTAGCTTTCGCCGTCGATAACTTGCCAGTGCTCGGTTACCACCATCAGTCACCACCATGAATATTTAATCTCTAGTGGGCCTGTACCTGGGCCAGGCTTCATGTGAAACCCTCTCAATTTACATGTGTCTTTTCAATTAGTGTAACTGTGCAAGATTGAAGATTCTGACCCGAGAAAGCTGAAACCACCTGCTTTTTTTTTTTCTATCCCCTTAATTATAAATTTGATAAGAGAACGTCAGATCTTAGACAAAGTCGAAGCATAGACTATGTGATCCCAGGTGTCAGGTGCGGTGACCTTCTGAGCTTCCTTACCTGTGTAGTTTACGAGAGACGAATGTTTTGGTTCTCGCAAGGCAAATACATACAAATTGTAGGTTACTTGAGGATATATATATATATATATATAGTAAGGTAACCACATGATAAGAAAGGCACAAGTTTTTGTTTAAAAGCAAGTTGCACATCTAGTTAATTACCTAATTCTCGGGACAACAAAACAAGTTTTTAAAATCCATAATCGAATATGACGACCGTTAGATCATTTTTCAAAGTTTCTACTGTGCCACTAACATGATCAGTCCAAAATTGACGAATATTGAAGGATATACTTCATTTGATATATCTTATAAAAGAATAGAGACTAGAGTTTTGTTTGTGAATGTGTTATTTGCACGGTTTGGATTTATGTAATTAATAGTCATTACTTATGAATACTTAACTTGGAACAGCACTTTAAAAAGAAGGCACCAAATGCCATTTAAGAGAATGAGATCAGCAAGTTCGCAGAGAAAGCTATAGAAACAAAGGACGTGAATTTGAATACTTTCTCCTCGTGGCTCTGCTTGTTGGACTCAGCAAGGTGCTTCACTTACAACCTCCAAGTTACTTCACTAACTAACTGTTGATGTAAAGAAACAGAGGCTTAAAGATTTTGGATTGAATAAACTACACACCAAGGCCTTTAAGTGATCTTAAGAGATTGAAAGTTCACAGAAATCTAAACCAAAAGAAGTAGTAACACAAATGTATGTTTTAAGCAGAGATGAAAAACAGAGCACACGCACCAACTCTAACGAGTTCTACGTCTCGAAAAATAAGAATACACCAGAGAAGAGACGATAGAACTAAACAAACATCACAAGAAGACACAAGTTTTGTTTGAAAGCAAGTTCCACATCTAAGTTAAACAAAACAAACATCCTTAAACGAATACAATGACTCTTTCAAAGGGAGCAGAACATGGATCAGCCCAATATTGATGTAGATTTCAAGTAACGAGCATGTTTGAAGAAAAAATTCAAGAAATGTCTCTCTTCTAGTCTTCCCTTGTGCCCTTTAAACTTGAAAGTTTCAACACTCTTCAAAAAACCATCTGGAACTGAGCTCTCCCAGCTAACCGGTTTATAACCCACAAAACGTGACTTACTCTGAAATTATAAAAAGAAGAGTTAAACTACACCACAAAATTGTGCTTTTTAGACTGAAAATTAGAATAGTCAACGAAGAAACTTACATCAACGATGAGACTGAGGACTTGCAGTTTAGGAGAATCTTTGAGCAACTGTACAAGTAACTTTGACCAATCATCATCGCATATATGTAGCTCTAATTTTTCAAGCTGACCAAATACAATACCATCACGATACACAGTCTGCACACATGACAACATAATAAACAAATGTTTCAAACTCAAGAAATTATTAGAATAAAACTGAAATTTTGAAGTTGAGACTTGAGAGAGAGATGTAAATAGAGACTTACCTTTTCCGCAGAGTTGAATGCTACGCGTAGTGAAAGACGCCTTGAATATGTAAGTGGTTCAAGAAGCTCTTGAGGATTCCTCAGAACAATGATATTTGCCTCTTGCAGCTCTGGCATACGGGCAATAGAATAGGAGAAACTTTCACAATAATAATCTTCAGCTTTGTAATCCTCAAAGTAGAAATACTTCAAAGCAGGGGTAACTATAATATTCCCACCAGAAGAACATGTCGAGTCTATATGTAATGATAAACGCAGCAAGGAAGGGACAGTAACAACTGTTCCTTTCAAATTGTCGTTTCCAACTCTATGAATAAACAGATCTTCCAGGATAGGGCAACCTTGTAGAAGCAATCGAAGAGTATCTTTATCAAAGTATCTCACATGTAGAAGCTCCAAGGTTTTCAACGAAGGGAGACAAGCCATCCGGGGAACATCCACAAGAATCTTGAAGCCTTCGAGTTTCAAAGTGACCAGCGATTTGCAGGTATACAAACTAGTTGGGAATAACACATTAGGATCTCTATAGAAAGGAAGATAGCTGATACTTAGCTCACGCACACAGCGAGAAACTGCAATTGCAACCCAAGATTCGAAATCCTTATGTTCAAGTGATCTAAGACGAATCCTGAGGCGCAAGCTTTCTATGATGGGAGATCTATATAGTGACAGATTCTTGTAGATAAAATACTGACACAGGTATGAAGGCTTTGAAAGATTGAAATCACCATTGGTGTTGTGGTAATCATCGAAATCGAGTTTAGGCAACCACATCCAAAGAAACTCCCATTGTTTGGACAAAACGCTAGTTGATATAGCAACTTTTGTTGGAAGAAACGATAATATCTTAATCCGCAGTTTATCAGACAACATACTAATGTTGGCCATATTTTTGTTAGAAACTTTATACACTTTTACAGACCAAAAGGATTTGTCAGAAACAGAACCAAAGCAAGTGAAAACAAAGTCACACCAGAGGAGCAGAACCAAAAACCTAGAAGGAACTCGCTTATAAAGAGAATCAAATCCGAAAACATCTATAAATATCTAAATCTCTGGTTAGCTTGGGCCTAGGCCGGGCTTTAGGTAAAACTCTATCAATTAGTCCAACCTCATTACCGAGAGAAAAAGCGAGGCTTTAGAACATGGGATCATTACATTACATTACATCTATTACTTATGGTTATGGATTTATTGTCAGGTAGGTGTCCTAGTATTTGATGATTAAGTCAACATCAAATTCTCGATTTAACCGTAACTTCTTAAACAAGCATAAGAAAGGACGAGATGAAAAAAAAAAAAGGACGTCGTCAACAGCAGGATTCGAACCTGCGCAGGCAAAGCCCAACAGATTTCGAGTCTGTCTCCTTAACCACTCGGACATATTGACTTTTGCACGATTTCTTATTACTTAAATTCAATACACATAAATTAAAAGTTACACTTTTGGCTGGACTACTGGTTACTTGGGGAACACGGTTTGCTAAAGCAATTAATAAGGTTTGTGTAAATATATAATTCCAATTGATCAATCCAGATAACAGAACAAAACCAGATCCGTAGAGATAAAATCAATAGTCAAAAAACCATACAATTTTCATTTAACCAACTTCAAAGTAAACTAAAACCATGTCGGTTATCAAAACCACACCAACTAATATAAACCGGAATTGTGTTTGTAAAATGTGTAGAGAGGAATCAAAGATCAGCTTTTCCAGGATACCGAGGGAAAGGAATAACATCTCTGATGTTATCAATTCCTGTAGCGAACAGAATCATACGTTCGAAGCCAAGTCCAAATCCACAATGCTTCACTGTTCCATAACGACGCAAGTCAATGTACCACTCATATGGCTCAATTGGTAGACCCATCTCCTCGATCCTGTTATAAGACCAGATCAGATTTTGCTTCATAAACCCATCACAAAATAACCACACAAACAAAAGATCCAAACTTTTGAATATTGGTTTCACTTTCACATACCTCTTTTTGATGACATCATATCGTTCTTCCCTTTGGCTTCCACCAATGAGTTCTCCAACCTAATTCATACAAAGAAAAAAACAGCCAATTAATGTGTTTACTTCAATATGACTCGATGGCTTTATATGATGTGTTATATAATTACCTTTGGAACCAGGACATCCATGGCAGCAACTGTCTTCTCATCATCGTTAAGTCTCATGTAAAAAGCTTTGATCCCTTTCGGGTAGTTATAAACAATAACTGGCTTTTGAAACATAACCTCTGTCAAGTATCTGTAATTGCAAGACATGTTTCGGTTAGCAACCATTACCATTTCTTGCAAGTGTTTAAAGTTGAGAAATGGTTTTTATTAAGAATTATCACAAACCTTTCATGCTCTGAGGCCAAGTCGATTCCCCACTCCACTTTGTTTTCAAATTCCTTTCCTTCAGCTACAGCTTTCTCAAGTAGCTCTATTGCTTCAGTGTATGTTACACGCTTGAACGGGGTTGAGGCAACCAGTTTTAGCCTGTCAATGCATCCCTTGTCAAAGTTCTTAGCCATAAGTTCCATGTCGTCGTAACATTTCTCGAGCAACCACTTGCACATGTATCTCACATACGCCTCTGCACAGTTCATGTCGTCCTACACAATTTTCAAAGAAGGTTTCTAAGATACTGTAGCTATATTATGATTAAGAAGAGACAAAAGAATATCATATGTATATTACCTGAAGATCTGCAAAAGCAATTTCAGGCTCAACCATCCAGAATTCAGCTAAATGCCTTGAAGTATGAGAGTTCTCTGCCCGGAAAGTGGGGCCAAATGTATACACGCTGCTAAGAGCGCAAGCATAGGTTTCCACTTGTAATTGACCAGAAACTGTCAAGAAAGCTTGACGGCCAAAGAAATCGTTGGAGTAATCAATTTTTCCATCTTTTTTAGGTAGTCCAGGCTTAAGCCTCGACCTCTCTTCAACATGAGCTAAAGTCGCCTTTGCTACAGTAAGCTCAGCAACAGAAGCAGTGATCTCTGGCTTGCTAGCCTTGGCAGCTTTCAGTTGCGCTACAGCTTCACCTCTCTCCTTGACAACAAGCCTAGCCGCTTCAATATCAGCCTCAGTGGGTGGAGGGTTATCAATGAGATCCTGCTCAGCCCTCTCAGTGTGATTGATCAAGGTTGTTACTTGGAACATTTCACCAGCACCTTCACAATCACTTGTTGTGACGATAGGAGTGTGAATGTAAAGGAAACTATGTTCTTGAAAGAAACTGTGGGTGGCGTAAGCAAGCGCATTACGGATTCTTGCAACTGCTGAGATCTGAAAGCATCGCATATATGACCTCATTAAAGTGAATATACGAAATGAAGAAAACATCTTCACAAATCAACTATTCAATCATTCAATCAAACACAGAAACATAAAAAACAAGTTTCAATCAATCTCAGTGAAAGAGATAAGAAGTATTACCGAGTTAGTTCTCGCACGAAGATGAAGCACATCTCTCAGAAACTCAAGAGTCAACTTAGTCTTAGGAAGTGGGTACTTAGTCGGATCCACCGTTCCCACATCAATCACTTTCACAACGCTAAGCTCAATCCTCTGCTTCACACCTTTACCTTCCGGCGGAATCTTCAGAACTCCATCAACAGTAACACAAGTTCCCGTCGCAACCAACTTAGAAAGATCATATAGAGACGCATCAACCATAACCTGAAGATTCGCTGGACAAGACCCATCGTTAACCTCTAGGAAAGCAAAAGTGCCTTTCCCTTGCTCCCTCCCTGTTTTGACCCACCCTCCGATTCGAACATTTTGACCAGCGAGTTTAGCTCCGCCGTCAGGTCGACCCAATATCGATCGAATCAAAACCCTGTCGGAAAATTGCGCTTTCTGCACCGTAGTTCCATCGTTACCCAATGACACGGCGGCTAACTGGTTCGCCGGTGGGACAATCTCATCAGCCATTGTTTTTGATCTTCGGAATCTGAAGCACGGAGTTTAGGGAGGCGTTTGAGATAAAAACCCTAAATGAGAGACGAGGTTTCAAAGTTATTGAGATGTGAGAACAACCGTTGGATCTTCCGTTTATGTATCGTTCGATTTTGGGATTCTGTTATGGGTAAAATTGGAAATGTTAGATACCAAAGATTCCAAATTTCCTTTTCGTTTATTTTCAGATTCCAAATTTCCAATGAATAAGATTGAATCTTTTGTTTTTCGTATTTGATAGCAATTAATAATTCGAACTTATTGCCTTTTTTATTCAATGTGAAATTAATGGAAACGTTTTTTTTATAGAAAATTACAGTTTTTTTTTTTTTCCCATAAGTTTTTTTTCCTTTTATATATAACAAGTGTTGCAAGAGTTACAACAGTGGAAGCTTCCACTTACACATCTCGATCCTTTCTAAACTTACAACCATGGATTATATCTAACACATCCATTTTCTAGACTACAACGGTTTTATTCCAAACTTAAGTTCTGCTTTAAACTAAGATTTCAGACCATATTGAACATTTTGGATATGCAGTTTCCAAAAAGAATTCAGATCATATCCACTTATTCAAGCCTTTGGCTGCATTCATTGAAACTAAGCAGCATGCCCAAAAAATGTTGACAGAATCAGTAGTGTCAAAGCTTTAACGTTTCTTTGGAGGTTTCAGAATCCCTCCCTTACTATGCTCCTGAACCTTTTGCTTTTGCTTCGTTTGTACTGCCTCATTCTTCCTAACTTCTGAGATTTTGCGCTTTTGAGATTCCTCCATTTCATTGCTCTTTACAGTTTCTCCTTCTTCATGCCTCCTTGAACATTCTCCAACCTCAAACTTCCTTGAAACTCGTGAATTGATCTCATACTCAGTTGTTGGAGTAATGTTAGATCCAGATGAAGCTTGATTTCTTCTCCAAGGAGCCTGTGGAATTGGAACAGCAAAATTCTGCAACTTTCCATCACTTGAAGGATGAAAATACGGACTTGCTGCTGCAATTTCATTTGAATTCAGAGGTGGCGTATCAACTCTTGGAGGTTGAGAAATTGGTGCAGGGAAGGAAACATCAGAATTCTGAGATTGTGAATTCATGTCCGACCTATGGATTTCATCATGCAAAGCAATTCTTTCCCTCCCATCAGTTATATGATTTGTAGCACCAGTGTTTGTGACAGGTAAAGGTTGACGATAAGGACAATAATTCCTGTGATGAGTGAACCTCAAACAACTGCTACAAATTCTTCTTAGACGCTCATACTGAAATCGGATTACTGCACTCTCACCCGAATCAAACCTGACTCTTCGAAAAAATCTTAGACTGGCAGTTATGCCAAATCTAATTCTAACTCTGATATACGCTACCTGAGTAGTAGTGGCTTCATGAAAGTCCATTTCAATAACTTCACCAAGCACTTGAGCTATCTCCATAACAGTTTCTTCACCAACATAAGCAAGAGGGATTCCTCTCATCTGCACCCAAAGATCTATTGATGTGAGGAAATCCAGGTCAGGATGGTCCTCCCACCTCTGAAAGGCCACAAACCAATTGTTGAATATCCATGGTTCCCTTCTTTGCACTGATATAAGATCCATCTCAGAACGGAAGAGAAATTGAACAAAGGTACCGTCTAGAACCCTTCCATGGACTCTTGAAGTTAAACCCCATGTTCTTGGTAGTGAAGAAATGACAGTAAAGAGGTTTTGAGCTCTTGGGTTAAGGGGCCTAGCAATCAAGCTTAGCCTATTACGAGCCTCAGCAACAGCATATGCCTCATGTGGGATAAACAACTCTGGATCATCCCTAGCTAAAGCCATATTCTGTATCTCATCCCATAATTCATCCGCCATGGTTTGAAGAAAGTAAAAAGAAAATAAAAGACTACTTCTAAACCAAACCCAAAAGAAAGTATATATAGAGATACGTTCACCTCAAAGATAAGAAAATATAACAATAATAATACTAGTTTAGATGAAAGCGACTTTAAAATATCTCTTAAGAAGAAGATAAACAAGGTAAAGGAAGGATAAGACTGAGAAAGGATTGAACAGAGTGAAACCGTAAAAAGAGACTAGTAAGAAGAAAAACTAATATAAAACTCAGAAGGCAACAAAAATTTTGTCAAAGCAAGAAAACGTTTCCAAGAGGTAAAGTTTCCTTTTTTCTCAAAACCGACTACACTTATAAAAGATAAACGTAGTTCAACCTCTTATAAAGTAATTTACAAAACCCCTAATCTACCTGCTGATTAACTTTTTCCTCTTCAAATAGGTTTTCTAGCCACTGCGGATGACCTCGACCAACATATGATTGTAACCTTAACCCAGTTATCACACTCTTTGCTATTTCAAAAGCTCCTTTGTTGCACTTCAAAGGTTCAATTAAGACAAACCAATTTGGTTTATTCTTGGTGAAACTTAAAAGTTCAGCAATATGACCTATTAAGGCTGGCCACTCTTTTGGTTTATTCAGAGCTTTAACCAATTCAGATGAGGAAGCTCCAAATGTTACATTATCTAAATGATGCTGGTTCATACTTGCTAAAGCCCACTCCCAACTCCTAAGTTTAGCATCAAAAAGAGAATGTACCTGAGAGTATGATCTGCGACTATGCAATAAAACTTTTCCGGTTGAATCTCTTACTACCCAGGAGGCTCCAGATAATTGTTTTTTCCTTGACCAAGCAAATCCAATATTGCATTTGAGCTCTCCACATTTTGGAGGAATCCACTTTTTAATCATATGAGCTTCATTATTCCTTGTGTGAAAGCCTCTATTCTGAGCTGAAATCCATTGTTGGCAATCATCATATGCTTTGTCCACAATGCTATTTGTCATTGAACCAGCTCCTTCAAACAACAGCTTATTTCTGTTTTTCCATAAAACCCAAATAATCCAAGGACTAACAGTTTTTAACTGTTGAGAAATATCTTGAATTTTAGATATTTGTAACAAATGATCCATATTCGCGTAAATAGAATTCCCGAAACCATTCGAAGGAGATGGCAGAAGAGAAAGTGCCCAAACTTGTCTAGCCAACGGGCAAAGAAACAAAATATGATTAATTGTTTCATTTTCCTCCCCGCACATTAGACAACCATCTGAAACTTGAATACCTCTTGTTCTTAGTCTATCTTCCACAGCAATTGCTCCTCTTAAAACCTTCCAGATGAAAATTTTAATCTTTGGAGCAGTTAACAAGTCCCATATACTAGCAAAAAGAGGATTTAATGATGGATTTTCGTCGGCTTCTCGATACAGGTTGTGATGAACTTTTCTAGTGATTAGATCATATCCAGACTTGACCGTAAATGAACCACTGTTAGTATGAGCCCAGCAAAACGTGTCTTCTCTAGACACCAAAGGTCTTCTTTTAACGATAATCTGGATATCCTTCAAGGGAACCAATTCCTGTAACAATTTCAGATTCCAATTGCCAGAGGAAGGATCAATAAGCTGACTCACTTTCAACTTAATATCAATCAGAGACTGCACATTCATTGGTCTTCTATTTTGTCCATCAAACAACCATTTATCTATCCAAACTCTAGTTTGCTCACCATTACCAATAACTCTTGTCAAGCCTTCCATTAACAACTCTCTACCAAATAAAATACTTCTCCAAGCATAAGAAGGTCTATTTCCATTGGCAGCATTGAGGATATATGAATTCAGAAAGTACCTGCTTTTAAAAAATTTATAGAAAAGGGTGTCCTTTTCATTAAGGAGTCTCCAGGCTTGTTTGGCTAGTAAGGCTTGATTGAAACACTGAAGATCTTTGAATCCAATTCCCCCTAAAACCTTAGGCATTGTTAATCTTTGCCATCCTATCCAGTGAATTTTCTTTGAGCTCTGCATATTATTCCACCAGAAATCCATCATCACACTAGTCAGATTTTTGCAAAGACTTTTAGGCAATTTAAAACACGTCATCGCATAAACTGGTAGAGCCATAGCAATAGACTTTAACAAAATCTCTTTTCCACCTTGAGATAAAGTCTTTGCATACCAACCCGTCATTCTTGACTGAAGCTTTTCTTTAAGAAATCCAAATAAATGCTTTTTTGATCCACTTAAACACTCAGGTAGCCCTAAATACTTCCCGGTTCCTCCTTCAGTTTGTATACCTGATATCTTTTTAATCCAAGTCTTTGTTTCTTCTTTGACTTTTGCCCCGAAAGTTACTGCTGACTTATCCAAATTGATAACTTGTCCTGAAATTTTTCCATATATAGATAAGCAATTCATGATCTCCTTACATTCTTCCTTATTAGCTTTACACATTAGAAGAGTGTCATCGGCAAATAATAGATGATTCACTGAAACTCCGGCATTGTTAAACTGGATGCCCGAAATTTTACCCATCCTTTCAGCTTGATTGAGAATATGGATTAAAGCCTATGTACACAACACAAATAAGAACGGGGAAAGTGGATCACCTTGTCTAATTCCTCTTCCTGGTTTAATGTGACCATAAGGCTGACCATTGATCAAAACTGAATAAGATACCGATGAAACACAAGCCATGATCCATGTTATCCATTTCTGATTAAAACCAAGAGCATTCAACATTCCTTCCAAAAAAGACCACTCCACTCTATCATAAGCCTTTGACATATCAGTTTTAAAGGCCAAAAAATCACATGAGATCTTCTCATTTGTTTTCAAATTGTGCACAATCTCATGAGCGATGAGTATATTATCAGAAACTAACCTTTCAGATACAAAAGCTGATTGAGTGGGAGAAACTATATCAGGTAAATGCTTTTTGAGTCTTGCAGTTAAAATCTTGGAGACTATTTTGTATAAAACTGAACACAGGCTGATTGGTCTAATATCTGTCATCCTCTGAGGGTTTATTATCTTAGGAATGAGACACAAATGAGTATGATTCCACTCCTCTGGAAGAACTCCTGTCTGAAAGAACTCCCGTATTTCCTTCATTATTTGTGACTTTACTAGAGACCAATGTTTCTGGAAGAATAATGCAGTGAATCCATCCGGACCTGGGGCACTTTCACTGTTAATTGAAAACACTGCACTATAGATCTCCTCTTCTGTGACATCTTGAGTTAACTCTTGATTCATGAATGATGAGACTTTGGCTTGAAATCCTTCCAAATAAGCATTCAGAGTACTTGGATAAGAAGAAGTAAAAAGATTCTCAAAGAATAAGGTTGCAACCTTTCCTTTTTCTCTATTTAATTTATGTTCATTCCCATTCTCATCCAACAGAAAACTCAAGGAATTTCTCACTCTGTTAGAATTTACAACCGCATGAAAAAACCTTGTATTCTTGTCTCCTTCATAAAGCCATTTATCTCTGCTTTTCTGTCTCCAAAAGGATTCCTCTTCATTATAAGCTATTCCCAATTGATCTTTGATAATTGCAATTCTAGGCCAGCAGGGAAATGGATTACTAATCTGATCATCTAATTCTTTTCTCAACCTCTTAATTCTACTCTGAGAATTAGTATCAGAAGACTTTTTCCAAACACTGATAGCTCTTCTACATTCAGCAATACTAAAGATAGAAGAATGTGTACCTTTAGAAATTTCACTATTCCAAGAGCTGTATATAGCTTTAATACAAGAAGGATCATCAGCCAATCTTTTGTCAAACCGGAACTGTCCTCTAAAAGTTTCCTGATCGTTAATAAATTTCACCAAAACTGGTCTATGATCAGATCCAAATTTCTCAAGAAACCATTGATGAGAATTTGGGAACATAGAAAACCAAGAGGAATTTCCAAAACATCTGTCAAGTTTACACTGAACCCACTGATCATTCCGTGTTCCTCCCCAAGTAAAACCATTCCCTGAACTCCCCAATTCCAGCATGTCACAATTCTTCAACATGTCTTGAAAAGACTGAAAGGAAGATATCAAACGACGAGGACCACCTAACTTATCCTTATTAGACATGATTTCGTTAAAGTCTCCTATCATACACCAAGCTTCTTTCCTATCAACACCAATACTACTCAATCTTTCCCACAAAAGAGGTCTTAGATTCATCGCCGGATGACCATAAACACAAGAAACAAACCAGCTTTTATTCTGTTGTGATACCTTCAAGTCTAGGAGATTTTTGTCTTCAAAAAGAATTTCAATCTCCAAATGATTTTTCCAAAAAATAGCCAAACCACCACTTTTTCCTTCAGGTTCTATTGTATGAACAAAATCATAACCAAGCCAACTAAAAACTTGTAAAACAAACTCATCAGAATTCATAGTCTCCATGAGGAATAAAATATCTGGGAAATGTTCCTTTCTCATCTCCTTTAGATGTCGAATTGTCCAAGGATTCCTCAAACCTTGGCAATTCCAACTTAAGACGCCTTACTGATCCAACGGCGGTTCACATGGAACCACCGTATTGTTATCTCCCTTGATACCCTTTGTAGAAGCTTTTTCTGTTGACAGCCTTTTCCTTTTAAAAACTTTATCAAACTGCTCTTTAGAGTGTATATCACTAACCTTTTTTTTCATAGGTAGCTCTTTGATCTTTTTAGCTTTTCTAGACCATGAAGTTTGGATCTTCCTCTTGTTTTTCTCTGTTGAAATTGTTCCCGAAGAACTAGCCTCCAAACTTCCAGTTGTAAAGCCGACAAAAAGATCCAAGTCTGACAAATCCTCTGATTCCTCTTCATCAACTGATTTTGATAACACAAGATTACTTTGCTTGGGAGAGCTTTTCATCGCATCAGCCATTACTTTTTTATTCATCGATGTCTTTACCTTAGGTTGCTCTATGTCTTTCCAAGCGATCCCTTTCGCTTTATCTTGATCCATGGAAACCAAAGAGGAAAGCTTTTTCGGAATTGACTGCTTGAAAGAGCATCTATTCTTATCATGAGTTAGTCTTTGACATTCAAAACATCTTTTCCTAATCCTTTCATAATCAAAAGAAACTAAAACAATCTCCCCTGATGGCAACTGTACTTCTTTAGAATTACGCAAAGGATTTGAAACGTCTAACAAAACACGCACCCTAACATAGTCTTGAACTTGCGATTTTTCCAATTCAAACACTACTTGCAAGACTTGTCCCACACACTCTGCAATCTCTTGAATCGTGTCTTTGGTGTAGTAGTTAACAGGAATATTACGAAGACGTATCCAAACCGGTAGAAACATCAAATAATCATCTGGAGGTTTCTCGATCCATTTCTCCATCACTACACACCAATCATCTTGAGTCCAAACTCCTTGTTTCAAAATTCCTTCTAAATCTTCTTCAGACTTAAAGAAAAATTGAAACTTATCTTTTGATAGAGCTACACCACGCACCCTGTCATATAACCTCCAAATTCTTGGCATGTCTAATATCCAATTAGACATCCTTTGATTCTCAGGATTCAGAAATCTACCCAAGATACTACAGCTATTTCTTTCGCTTGAACAGAACTTTGGTTGATTAGAGAGGATCAGAGGTTTATCATCTGAAATTGACATCTTTTGAAGAGCTTTTTCCAGATCCATAATCAAACTCACAACCACACCGACTAAAAGAACACCCCAACCAGAATCAGATATAGAAACACCAACAACCAGTAACTTTCGAACAAGAGTTGTGATCAACGCCGACAGAAAACGAATATATCTTCGGACAAAGGTTCTGCTCAATAAGAGGAAAGACTCTTTTGAGAGAGAAGTTCTTAAGCCCAAACCTAGGGACTGCCTTGTTAATTCCTGATCGGATAGAAAATTACAGTTATACAATTAAAAAAACAGTAATGGAAAAATGTTTTAAAATATATTCTCCAAAAATCTTAAGTTATATATATTTTTTTAAATAACCTATTTTCATACTGTAGATTGTGGAGCTAGTGTTGCTAATGGGCTTTATAGGGCCGATATTATATGTCCATTTATTATAGATTTCTGAGCCTACATAAAAAGCCTTTTAAATGTGATAAGAAAATAAAAGGAAGATATAAAAAGAGATCATAATCTTGGAACCCTAGTTCTGAGCTTTACGCACGAACTCGTTTAAGCTTCTTGCAGCCGTCGGTACGGAAGAACAAAGAGGAGAGTAAGAAGCTAATCAATTATGGGTAAAAATCCTTCACGAGCTTCTCCATTTTGTTTGATTTGCTTATAATTCATCTTCTTCTGCTGCTGGATCTGTTTAACGACGGTGAATAATTTTTTAAACCATTTGCAGGAAAGGTTCATGGTTCTTTGGCTCGTGCCGGTAAGGTTAGAGGACAAACACCAAAGGTTGCTAAGCAAGATAAGAAGAAGAAGCCCAGAGGTCGTGCTCACAAGCGTATGCAGCACAACCGCCGTTTCGTCACCGCCGGTAATTTTCTGATCTTAATACTTCCATTTTAATTCGATTAAAGCTGTTTAGGAATATAAGACTCTTACATTGGGAATTGTTAATTGCTTTAGATATGCCTTGTTGAACTGTTTAAAGTAATGGTTTTTTGCTTTTTGCAAACAGTTCACCATTTTGTTAACTGATTTGTGCAGTTGTTGGTTTCGGAAAGAAGAGAGGACCTAACTCATCGGAGAAATAGATGTCACTAAATTTGTATCTTTGGTAGAGAAGGGAAAAGCTATTTTGCGACTTTGGGAATCTTTCTTCTTTGTTTTAAGTTTCTTTTGGCACTGAACGATTATGTTTTTTGATTATATGCTATAAAATACTGTTTTTTCTATTTATCGTTTTGGTCAACTTGAAATACAAGTTACATTTTCCCAACATTTCTTACACAAATCTATCTTCCAAGTGAGAATTCGCCAATTGATTTAAGTCTTCTTTGCATTTCAAATCCTGTGCTATGACTTTATTATTTAAATCTAAGTAATGCGACAGACAGTTTGCAAAGAATTCTGCAAATAATACTCAATTCTGTGGATTGTTACCAAGAAATAGGAAACCAGCCCATAGATGATGGCCAATTTGTCTGGACCAAGCTTCACATATTCAGAGTTCGTCGTGGAAGCCTGAGATAGAGCCTTTAGAAGCCTTCTCTTTGAGGTACTGTACAGCCATCGATGCATGGATTGCAGCGCCATACGGTAGCACATCCTCGTTAACTCGATAGAGTGGTGAATGTGATGACGCATAACCTTTGGTCTCATCCTGCATTCCCAGGAAGGAGAAATGGCCCGGGATTACTTCTGCAAACTTTGAGAAGTCCTCTGAGCCCATCAATGGTTGTGCTTCCTCAACAGCTTCTTGACCCAACAGATCTCTGACCACCTTCTTGTACTGCTTGTATAAGTCAATGTCGTTCACTGTTGGTGGTAACGGTTCTTTGCCATCAGGTGTTAGATTCACAGATGCATTACATCGATGAACTGTTGCTTGCTTGGTAATCACCTAGAATCAAAAGTAAACCGTGATTAGTTCTATGGTAAAAGCACAATACCGCGAAAATCTTAAAAGGCACAATCTCGGATCACCCGTCACCTCTTTGATTCTCTGTTGAAGCTGACTAAAACCGGTAAAGGCTCGAAGAGTTCCTCCTATGGTGATTGAATCAGGGATGACATTAAACGCATTGCCACCAAGAACCTTAGACACTGTGACCACCTGAAGAGGAAACACAAATGACTTCAAGAAAACCAAGACCAGGTGTGGGAGATCACAGAGTAAAAAAGGAAACCTTTGAATCCAAAGGGTCAGTTTCACGTGAAACCAGGTGTTGAAGACTGAGGACAATGCTTGAAGCTGCAACAACAGGATCTATTGTATGCTGAGGGATGGCAGCATGACCTCCTTTCCCAGTGATTACAGCCTCAAAGAATCCAGCTCCAGCCAGCATGGGACCTGCACGTGAAGCGACTTTGCCAAAGGGAATCCGGTTGGTAAGATGTATTCCAAAAATAGCTTCGACGTTCTTCAAAGCTCCTTCTTCTATCATCTTTTTAGCTCCTCGCAAACCTTCCTCAGCTGGCTGAAAGATAAGCACCACAGTTCCCTAACAACAAGAAAACAAAATGAATGTCTTAGGCCAATGCAACTGATGAAGTATTTTAAAAAGAGCAAATGGAGAAAATGCACAGACCTGCAAATCGTGGCGATGTTTTTGAAGTATCTTTGCAGCACCAAGAAGCATAGCAACATGACCATCGTGTCCACAAGCGTGCATTTTACCAGGAATTTTGCTTCTATGCTCCCACTCAACAGCTTCCTGAATTCAACAATCAAATTATATTATTAATCCTTCATTTCAAATCCTCATCATCTACATTACCTAAGAGAATGGTACTAGTGTGTATGTATACTCAAACCTACGATCAAGCAAGCGTTAAAGACTTAAAATAAAATTCGATCAAGTTTGCCATTAAAAGACCAAAATGTATCGAAACTATATGAGAATTCTGGGAATTTGGTACTACACCTGAATAGGCAAAGCATCCATATCAGCTCTAAGAGCGACGAACGGTGGTTCTCCGGAGCCGATATAACCGATAACGCCGGTGATAGCTACGGGATACCTATACTTAACTCCGATAAGGTCCAGCTCCGATCTAATGAGTTTACTGGTTTCGAATTCCTCGTAACCAAGCTCAGGATTCTCGTGGATTTTTCTTCTGATTCTCACCATCGAATCGAATACCTCCGGACTCCTGGCGAGTTCGAGGTACTTCATTGGAGTTTGAGTCACATCTCCGGTGATCCATGGAGATTCCGATGAAACACGAAGTAGTAGAGAGACGAGTTGAAAAGTCAAACTGAAGAGCAAAATTTTGTTTAGAGCCATGGACGAAGAGGACAACAAACTTCAGATTTAATGCATACCACAGATGAGACTTAAGCAAGTCTACAAAGCCTGACATTTAATGGGCCCAAAAGCCCACTAGTTAATGGAAAGGCCTAAGTTTTTATCATCACCAAGATCTTTCTTCTTTTCTGTTTTCCCGCGCTAGCTACGATCTTGTAATCTTCTTGTTGTACATGTCCAAAACAGAGAATATTCCAAATTGTAAGAATAAAATATATTTAAAAACTAGAAAAGTGTAAATGACAAAAACAAAATCTATAAAGATACAATGACAACAGTTATAAAAACTGAAAATCCAAGTGTAATCAAAACCAACACTTGTCAAATACATATGTTTCTAAATTACTTCACAAGAAGATCACACAGATTTAAATGGTCTACTATATCCACTTTACCTGAAACATGACACATGTCCCAGTTTCAAACAAAAGGAAGAAAATATGTAAAGAAACTGACCAATTTAATAAGAAAGTTAATTAGGTATATTCAAATTTTTAATAGACAAAGGTCTCTTAAGGTGGTAAGAAATATTTTTATTACAAACAGATTTTGGTAATCAGATTTGGTTTTAAATATGAATTCTTGTCTTGTTTAGAAGGGTGGGATAAATCTTGACAGCTAATTAAGGTCAAAGATAAATTAGATTTGTCTCTAATTATAGAGGAAAGAACTTATCGTCGTCTCTTTAAAGCCATCATCACACTACTTATACCCCTTTTGTGTGTCTCCCCACCAAAATTACATTATCTTCTTCTTTGACATTCTCTAGAGATCTTTTTTTTTTTTTTTGGGCTTTGAAGATGACTATCTCTGTACAAAACCCTGTTTTTGGTAAACTATGATCATTCTTTTAATTTCTTCGAGTTTTGAAAGATCTTGTATCCGTAAATCTAACGCTCTTTACTCGCTTGTGTGTTCTTTTGTCAAGTAAACGAAGAATCTACGGCGCATGAAAAGACCGGAGAGTTACAATTGGACAGCGAGATTCCAATGTCGAAGATACCATCTGATGGTGATGTGTTTTTGGCTCCTGAGATGAATGCATTTGGTCGTCAATTCAGGTTTTTTTTTTTTTTTCCAAAAATATATTGTTGTTTTCTAAAAGATTTAGATTTTGATGCATGCATGTGTAAACAGAGACTACGAGGATACAAAAAGCGAGAGGCAGAAGAGCGTGGAACATTTCTATGAAACACAACACACTAACCAAACTTTAGATTTCGTAAGATCTCTTTTATAATATATAATTTTGGGTTTCTAATTAAGTTCGTGACATAAAAGCTGAGTCCTATATATTTTCTGCATGGAAGTGATTTATGAACTATTTAAAATATTTTTTAATGCTTCAGCCAAAATACGTATTTGAGTTTTTTCACTTTTGTAGGTGAAGAAAATGAGAAGTGAATATGGAAAGCTGGACAAGATGGTGATGAACATTTGGGAATGTTGTGAACTCCTTAACGAAGTGGTGGACGAGAGTGATCCTGACCTCGACGAACCGCAAATCCAACACTTGCTTCAATCTGCGGAAGCTATCCGTAAAGATTATCCAAACGAAGACTGGCTTCATCTCACTGCTCTTATCCATGGTAAATTAATTGTTATTATTTTAGAGATTATTTATGACAATCAAAAACGTATATATATGCTTATTATATATGGCTGATCATATATATATGAAAATCCTTAAATTAATGGACTCATGCATGAATCTCCAGATCTTGGCAAGGTTCTGACTCTTCCTCAGTTTGGAGGGCTACCTCAATGGGCTGTTGTTGGTAAGTACTCTCTAATTTGTGATCTCCTAATTATAGTCAAGTTAGAAATTTCATAAGTAACTTATGGATTCTCTATTATCCAAACCTGAAGGTGACACGTTTCCTGTTGGGTGTGCATTTGATGAATCTAACGTACATCACAAGGTACATATTGGTTTTTTAAAACCTAATTTTATATTATCAGTAACATTTAAACAAGTGATTCAGATCTTTTAATACTTTTTTGCAGTATTTTGTGGAAAACCCTGATTTTAATAACCCAATGTACAATACCAAAGCTGGGATCTATTCAGTAGGATGTGGACTAGAAAACGTTTCTATGTCATGGGGACATGATGACTACATGTACATGGTAAAATTAAATTATTTGATTCATAATTATCATTACAATTAAAACACTAATATGATCACAATGATTCACAAATCGTTAATTATATATGTTAACAGGTGGCCAAGGAGAATGGAAGCACCTTGCCATCGGCAGGACTGTTCATCATCCGATACCACTCCTTTTATCGTAAGCATCTCCTAATCTAATTAATAGTATTAAGGTGATTATTATTAACGAACTAACATAATGTACATATTGATTAATTAACATTTATATATGTTTAGCATTGCACACGGCTGGAGCTTACACTCACCTTATGAACGAAGAAGACAAGGCCAACCTCAAATGGCTCCATGTTTTCAAGTAATTTATATCTAAACTAAACTCGATGGTAATGTTTCGACAACGAAGGAGTTTTAATCCTTAATTTGAGTTGGTTTGTTATATAGCAAGTACGATTTATACAGCAAGAGCAAAGTACACATCGATGTCGAGAAGGTTAAGCCGTACTACATGTCTCTTATCAAGAAAGTAAGAATCTCTACTATAATAAACTTGGCCCTATTCTCTTTTTTATAATATAATTTAAGTTTATTTTGACAACATTATTGTGAATTTATAATCATTTTGGGTTTTTTTTTACAGTATTTCCCGGAAAATCTGAGGTGGTGAAACTTCATCTAGGCCGTCCAAAAGAAGTCTACTAATAGAAGGTTCAGAAATGGCGTTTGATTAGCAGCACTGGAAAGCTTTATTAGTTTATTTTGCCCAGTTACTAATGTTGTATTATTACATTAGCATTAGCTATTGTTGATACAAACTATATTGTATGTCGTCTGTCCTATTATTATTAAATAATATCATTTTTTCTTTATTTTAAGTTTTAATGTGTAATTTCTTCTACAAAACCAAATCAGTAGTCACTAAGAACTTTAAATTCCAAATCTGTTTGTATTAAATTATTTAAAGTTGTTGAGTAAATAAAAATTACAATAACGAAGACTATAAACGTTAACAAGACGACTTCATTCATTCATTCAGAATTTTCAGATGTTGAAAACTTGAAAAAGAGATTACAAAACTAAACCATCTAGAGTAGAACAAAATATTTGTGTATTGTGGTAAAATCGTCAGAATAACGATTATTTCAGTTTCGCCTACAACGGCATCGTTTTGGAAACCCTCTGAGTAAAATGATATATGTGCCTTGAAACTTCACTTAGTGACCTCTTTAGTCACAGGGGGAATATTGCCAGCTCCGTTGTCAAGAAGCGGCGTCTCTGGCAATGGCATCTCTTTTTTCTCTTCAGATACATCTTTAGGCCCCAAGAAACTTGGCTGGTTCGTAGATGACAGTAACCTCGCCCACATTCTATCCGTAATTACTACATTGTTCTGTTTCTCTGTTATCCTCTGCATCAGATATAGACAACCAAACAAAACCATCAATGACCACGATTCAGAAATTGCTCACAAGTATAGGATACCAAAAGATCAAGGTTCATTCAGGCCATCCCAAAAAGAATCACTGGCTCAGATTCAATCAAAACTCGTTTTTTATATGTTTCAGTAACTTACGTAGTAAGGGATGTATGTTTGTCTTCCATTGACAAGACCACTGGTGTAGCCAGTGTAACCAGCCATTGCACCATGAACTGCACTCTGAGCAAGAAGTGTACAGTAAACATTGTCTGATGCATTGCTTGGGACAGCCCGGATCATGTATGTAGGATCAATGTATTTGAGATTCATCACCATCTTATTCTTATTAAAATGATCCTACAACCAGAGGATAATAAAAACATCAAACGCCAATGATGAATTTTCTGTAATGGCATAAGAATCTCATGATCGTGAAGGTCTTACCTTGATGCTTTGTGATAACCACAAACCGACATCTTTAAGAAGTTTGTTCCCAGAAGCATCCTTAAGAGTAGACTCCATGCTTTTAGACATCAAATCCTGTCCTGCACCTTCAGCAAGAACAATCACCATGTGACCACTCTCCTTGAGCCGTTTTTCTATGAACTCAAAGAGTCCACCTTCTCCTTCGAGGTAAAATGGTGACTCGGGAATCAAGCAACAATCAACATCTCTGCTGGCTAATGTAGCATACATCGCTATGAACCCTGTAATAACAATCATTGCCTAGCCTTAATCAGTAACAGCTCAAAAAGGTTTTAAGTTGTAATGCTTTAAAGCAAGACCTTACCGCTGTAGCGACCCATAAGCTTGACAAAACCAATACCATTCTCATTACTCTCGGCTTCAACATGTGCTGCGTTAATTGCTCTTTGAGCTTCCTCCACGGCAGTGTCAAATCCAAAAGATTTATCTATTACCGGAATATCGTTATCAATCGTTTTTGGAATTCCAACCACAGCAACTTTAAGTCCACGCCTTCTAATTTCCTACATGGTTTTATACAAATTAGGTTCAGTTGGTTATTTTCAAAACATATAACTATTATTCTAATATATCACAATAGCATTACCTCAAATAATACAGAAGCACCTCGCTGGGTTCCATCTCCTCCAATTATGTAAACCTAAATGATAACAGAGACTGATCAAGAACAGGTCCGAAATAAACTTTTCTTAATTCAAAAGTAAACACAGTGGCTGTGTTTCTTCTTGAACCTGATTGATTCCTCGATCTTGAATGCTATCAACTATCTTCGTGGTATCGTGTCCACCTCTTGAGGTCCCGAGGATTGTTCCTCCTCGCTTATGGATATCATTCACAACTTTAGAGTTTAAGGGTACAGTATTCTTGGCATAGAATCCTCTGTATCCACCCTGTAAGATTTCAACAAAAGGGAATCATTAGAAATATAACTGCGGAAATCAACTGTAAATAAAGAGACTATCTATGATTTCCAAAACTTACATCGATTCCAAGGATTTTCTTCACTCCATACATGTATGATAAGCTGCTCACAATTTCTCTAATAACAGTATTGAGACCGGGACAAAGACCTCCACATGTAACTATGCAAGCATGCACTTCATCAGACTCGAAGTAAACCTTTTGACGAGGACCAGCGCGTCTAAAATGGACTCCTCTTGGACCATCCTTGTGAACAACAACCTGGAATAACCAAGAGGAAAGAAAAGAGAGCAGTTTGCTGTTAAAACCTCGCTTTCAGCAAGACTAAGACATAATAATCCTCTAACATCATTTTCAAACAATTCGGGAAAAGAGGGATTATTCTTGATCAAATTACCTTCTCAGGAACACTATCGTCTGCATCAACAAAGTATTGCCTGACAAAATGAAAAAAACAAAAACAAAAAAAAACATTAAAGTGTGAACAAAAACTAAGCAATGGAAACGTCTGAAATAGGTGAAGATACTTACTTAACCACTGAGTAAGCTGGATTGTCTTGCAATGGATTCGGATAAGTCTGCAAAAACAGGAAAAGAATCAAGCCATATTACGAAGTATCACCATTGGATTCGAGTAAACCATGAACAACAGATCAAACCATTTTGGAATCCAAAGCTAAAGATTCCTCATTTGTAAACTAGACGATCTCTAAAGAGTAGATCGAGAAATGATGAAATCAAATTGAGCAAACAAAAAGATATCATACAGGAAGATCAGGAAGATAATCGATGAGATGAGGAACGTCTTGCAGAACATAACCACCAGGACCGTTGACGATCTTCGGCTTGTTACTCCTCGGACTAGTCATGACGGAGACAATCAAATCAGATCAAACTCTTTTCAGGAATGTGAAATCTCGAGAAAGCAGCCTCTAAGTTCGTCAATGGGTAGAGAGAAGAAAAAAAACCAAACTTTGAAAGGAAGAAGGACAAAGGAGGAGAGCGTGAATCAAACGCGTTGATCCAATACAAGGCAACCCGTTTTTGTAGGAGTGAGAATTATGACAAATGAGTCAGATTAACAAAAATCAGAAAGAGAGAGAGAGAGTGAAGACGGAAAGTTCAAGTTTTTTCTAGATGGGGAATTTAATCGAACAGGTGGAGGGCATCAAAGGATTTGAAGAAAGCTTAAGAAAAAAGAAAAAAACAAAGGAGAATAATTTAAATACATACACACACATTTACATGTATGTGTATGTTAATTGGGTACATGATTCTCGAGTATATATATAAATAAATAAATATAAAGGTGACGAACGCTCACATAAGAGTTGAAACTTGGAGAAGATGATTCACATTCTTCTAGATCAAGACTTTTTCCCATTCAGTAAATTTGAAGTTTTCCATATATTGACATCGATTAGTTTCGGACCTTGCAAAACAAGTTCATAATTTTCTTAAATTTTAGAGAAAGAATTAAAAAATGTTTCAGTTTTATATGCTTTTTTTGTTTGTTTGTGATAAGTCGCTGTTACAGATCTTTTGGAATATTCCGATTTTATTTAAAAACAAGAGAGAAAGAAGAATCTTTTTTAATTAAAGAGAGAAAGACAAATTCTATTTTAGTGTCGGCTGATCTCTATTTTATGTTTGTGTGTAGTATTTGTAATTTAATAATGTTAACGTCGATTTGGAAGTTTTATTTCGTTGTCAAGCAAGTATTTGCTGGTGTTACAAGGAGATTTCAGTATAGTATTATTGAAATGAAATGAAAAATAAGAGTTGACCAAAATAAAGCCTTATTATTAGTACAGTGTACATAATGCTTTTCAGATGACATACTTGCTTAGTCGTTTTACATTAAAAGATTATAAAATAATACATGTATGTGAGTCTGTGACAGTGACAAATATATATGTAGACTTGCGTAATGTTAATAATATAGATGTAATCGTTAATGATTTTTCTTGGTAATGAAATGTGTATTAAGAGGTGGACAGACACTATATGATGTGTATTTATTTGCATGTCGCTTTCGAATCAGAATCATAAGTAATTAAAAGTTGTCTTAAGTTTGGCCGTTATTTCTGTTTCTTTCGTATGATTCGCTAATCTCCCGCACAAAAAAATAAAGTCGTAGCTACATTAAACGTTACATGTTAAAAAAAAAAAAAAAAAAAATGAAACGTAACACAATAATTTCCATGAAAAGAATATATAATTCCCCAATCAAAAATGTATTTAAGTTTATGGAGATCCTGGCAATCCTGCATGTGTGAGTCAAGCAATTGGGCCGGATATGAAATCAAATTTCTGTAAACGATTTTTAAAGCCCAATATAAGTTACAGGGCTGATAAAGAGGCCGTGCCTTGTTATTGCCTAATGTTATTGCAAGTTTTTTTTTTTTTTTTTTTTTTTTCTGCAACTTCTTTGTTTTACAGTTTTAGAAGCAAAAGTTGAAAAGATTTACCACTTGGGTTTTGACATTTGAGTAAGAGTACAACATCACTACACTATTGTAATTTTGTGATCATATTGTTCGAAGGACCCCTATTTTAAAATGCGTAGGCTTTTGGCCATATATCAACTAGAAAAATATAAACTTTTGCTAAGATAGCCGAGTAGTTTAAATATCATGGTTTCTTACAACTTTATTTCTTTATATCTTATGCACACCATGAATTATGTTCTTACTAATTATAGCATATCTATAGGAATAATTAACTCTAAAAAGAAACTGGTTTGAGAGTAGAAAGTCGAAACATCGTATAACAGAAAAATGTTCTTTTATTATTTTGTAATGTGTTAATAAATAATTAAGCATGGTACTCTTATCAATTATAAAATTAAAAATTGTAGCCATACAAAAAAAAAGGTAGGATGTTCTTTTTTTTGGATGGTCATATACAGCTAATAAGTATGTTTAGTCTAGTCTCATACAGTACTTTGTTTTTTTTTACTTTATCCTTAATTAAAAAAAAAAAAAGAGTGAAGAAAAAATGAGAAACCTAAATAGTAATAATCATTTTGATCAAAAAAAAATAGTAGTGATCATTAGATGGACAAAAAATGATGACCGTTTGATCTGTTGTTCAAACAAATCCGCGGCTAGGCCCCATCCACCCGACACCATGATTTGGACCTACACCAATTTAGAAACCATTGTGTTCAAAACGTCCAAAGAATATATTTGCTTATACTATATACTATAGCTAGTATTTGCATATTTCAAATAATGTGAAAGAAAGTGAAAAAAGAAAAGCAAGAACAAGATTCTTAGAAACATGTGTTTGTCCTATAATCCAAAGAGATTATCCTTAACTGCTTTTCTTTCCTATGTACTTTTTCTCTTTATTTTAAATTAACAGTATGCTGTTTCTGCTAAATTAACCCGTAATTAATTATCTCCAAAAGTTCGAGTGACCACAAAGTTTAAAGTCAACAATGGATAAAAAAAATTACGAATAATATCAAAATATATTAAATCAAAATTTTACGTAGAGAGATAATTGGAGGAAAGCTCAACAAAGTTTATTACGAATGGATCCTCTTTTGATTTTCTACTCTGTCTCTTTTTTTACACTACATAAATGAATTTATACATCAAATCATAACCCCTTAATTCCCAAAATTGTAGGAAATATGAACAACATTAATTCTCTTGTTTCACAAATTTAAATAGTTTAAATGGATTTTAAAAAAGAAAAAAGAAAGAACACTGTCAATTCTGGTTCAGTCATTTACCTATATATTATTCTGTTTTGAATAACTCTATTGCTATCTTTTAAACACACAAGAAACTAGTTTTCGACTGTTGAAAACAAACATATATGATACTTATAAATATAAGAAAGATTCGATTAACTTATCATAATATATAAATCATGGCATGCCTTAACATCTTTTACTAGTACTACAACTACAACTTAAAAATAAATTTATGAATATTAATATTAATTATTCACAATATATTTCTTCAATTGCTATAAAAAAAAGTGTTTGACATGGTCTGATATGGTATAAGCTTTTGTAATACAAATATTGTATGAACAAAAAGCAACATATGCATATTTTTGATACTTGACAAAACCAAAAGAAAAAGAAAAAGGCTAATGTATTATACAAACCGCCTTAAATATGAATTCACTTTATTTAACTTAAGACCGAAAATAAATAAGTAAAACAAAAAAAAAGGTTTGGTCAAGAGACTGAAGACTCGCACAAGACAAGAGAGAGAGAGAGGGAGAGAGAGAGAGAGAGTAAAATTAGGGTTTTGAACCTTTTCAGTCTCAACTCCTTTTATTTCCTTTACTCTTCCTTCTTCCTCATTTCTTCTTCATTTCTTTATCTACTTGACATAGTTTTGTTTCTTCTGTACTTAAAGTCGTATCTACATGTGTTTCTGTGTCTCTTCTGGAACCAAAAAAGAGAGAGATATCATAACAATAATTGTAATTAAAAAGCACTAATATGCTTATCTTAATATAAGGTTATACATATTAAATCCTTTCTTTTACTCTCTATATATTGAGATCACTCCCGTCTTTATCAAATTCTTCTTCCTCTCACCTTTTCCAATCCAGAGGATCTCATGTAGATCTGGTAACTTTGATATTTGTTTCTTTTTTTCACTTCTTCTCTTTCATTGCATGTTTTTAAATTGTATACCTATGTGATCATTAATCTCTAGCTCTATGCATGTTAATGACATCGATTAACTCATCTTATCATTTTCTTTCTTTCTTTCTTTCTTTAAGCTTTTAATTTCAGTAGATCTCGTACTGTGGTACAAATCTGATGATCTTTATATCCATTTACTATTTTTTGTCTTCTTTTATTTACACTGAGAATCGTGTACATATATATGCATGGAGCAATACCTTTGAAACCTTTTCCTTTTTTCATAAACTGCAGATCATTTTCTAATACAACCGAGATCAATCACTAAGCTAGCTATTGATCTATAGAGGAAATGAAGAATAGTTATAAATGTAACCTCATAGATTCAAAGCTCGAAGAACATCATCATCTTTGCGGATCAAAACATTGTCCTGGATGTGGTCGCATGATTCAAGCTGCTACTAATCCAGTAATATTACATTCCGCTTATATACATATTCCCAAGAATAAATATATATAAAAATAAAGATATCATCCTGTCACTTTTTTTCTTTCTTTGAAACTGTTCAGCCTTCTTTTGTTTTTTTTAGAATTGGGTTGGATTGCCGGCAGGAGTGAAGTTCGATCCGACAGATCAAGAACTTATAGAACATCTAGAAGCAAAAGTGAAGGGAAAAGATGAAAATGAGAAATGGTCATCGTCTCATCCACTTATAGATGAGTTTATACCCACCATTGATGGAGAAGATGGGATATGTTACACTCATCCTCAGAAGCTTCCAGGTTCATTTCAATTCTTTAGATATAATAAATAACTCTTCAGGTTAATTATTCGATCTGCATGGAACGATTTTTTAAAGTTAAGGAGATGAAAATATATTATGCTGTGTATATAGGCAATTTATAAATAATCACCACTCCCATAAAAAATTAATCAATTTTTTTTATCCTAATATATTTACTACAATACAGTTTTTTTAATTAAATTTATTATGTAGTGATTACCAAATTTGATGTGTTATAATTATACTACGAAATCTCTAACATGTTGTATATATTAGTACTCAATTAATTAAAAGGAGAAGTTTCTCAAACATCATACATTGTATCGATATGGTTGGTGTAAATAAAAAACGCACAACTTTTAAACAAAACTTCTTACGAAAACAAAAGAACTGATGCGAAGCATCTTACTTTCTTTTGTTTGACGTCTTCTTAGTATATTTTTATTGGATAACTTCTTAGTTCATAAGTATGTGCATGCAACTTGCTAGTAGTAGTATCGGGATCTTGGATAATGTTTGGTGACCCAACTTTGAAAAACAAGTTTCCTCATACAAAAATATACTGGTTCGATCGTCTTAATTAAATTTTTTTAATTCAATTCAAAAATCTTTTCTTGCTATTAGGAGTGACAAAAAATGGCTTGAGCAAACACTTCTTCCACAAGCCATCGAGAGCTTACACAACCGGAACAAGAAAACGACGCAAAATCATCCAAACAGATCACGACTCCGAGTTAACCGGATCATCAGAAACCAGGTGGCACAAAACGGGAAAAACAAGACCGGTTATGATCAGCGGTCAACAAAGAGGATGCAAGAAGATATTAGTACTCTACACAAACTTCGGTAAGAATAGACGACCGGAGAAAACAAATTGGGTAATGCATCAATATCATTTGGGGATTAGTGAAGAAGAGAGAGAAGGAGAGCTTGTAGTATCTAAGATCTTTTATCAGACACAACCTAGACAATGTGTTAGTAATCTAAATTGGTCTGATCATCATCATGGTTCCAAGGACGTAGCTACCGCCTTGCAGACTCTTGGTTCCGGTGACGTCGTCTCTAGGGTTAGGACGAATCCCTATACAAGAGGCTTTGAGGAGGTATACACTACACATAATGTTTTGTGAAAAAAGTCGAATTATTCTGGGAGTCTTAGTGCAACAAATGAGAGTTTAACAAAACATTATTTTTTGTTGGCAATTAACATGTATGTAATCAAGGGGACAGCCGAAGCTTCAAAGGGAAGTGAGAACCAGCGTGTGTCTGGCACGTGCGAGGAAGTACATGATGGGATCATAAGATCATCAACATCGTCATCTAATCAACATCATCATATGATTCATGATCATAATCAACATCATCAAAATGTAAGAGAGTTTCACATATCATCATATCCCATGACCCCTACGACTATCACATCGCAACATGAGTCAATCTTCAATGTTACAAGTACTATGCCCTTTCAGGTAAATTAGTTTTCCTTAAATAATCGAACCCCAAAAATTTTATTCCTTCAAATAAGCTCAAATTTTATAAAGTCAATGCACGCGAACGTGCATGGGATATATATAGTAGTGTCTTGGACATTTAATCATAACCACTCATTTAAATAAAGACTAATGATTTTGGATCTACAGGCTCATGCAAAAAAGTAATTCTTGTTCATATTGTCATATAACTTAGAAGTTAGAACTTATGTCGCATAAAAGGTAAATTACCTTGGAAAATGTTTTTTTTTTTAAACGCATTAGTATGTCCAATGTGGTTGCTCTAAATGGCTTGCGGAAGTGATTTTATAATATACATATATATATATGTTATTTAATTTTGTTAGAATGGTAATTGGTATTAGTATTGAGGTTTTGATAACATAAGAAAAATGAGTATTCGTATTTTACAAATGATAGCAGGAGCAGTTAAGAGGTCGGTCGTCTGGTTCGGGATTAGAAGACCTAATTATGGGTTGTACCACAGCTACTTGCACAGAAGACGTAAGTTTATTACCAACAAGTGTGCTTTAATAACTTCGATTCATGATTGTTCTAACATAAGTTTTGTGGTTATATTACATACGGTCCAATATTTTGCATAAAACAAAAGATTAATCATAGATGATTAAATTGGCAGGAGCATTCAGAAGCAAACACACATCAAAGTGTAGATTGGTTAACGTTTCCACCCTACTGGTAAGACCAAACTCAAAACAAATATATCACTAAAAATTGTATATAAACAATTGTTAATGAACAAGTCATTTGGTTACTTGAATATAATTTAATCAGTTGGACCGGCCACAATTTTGCAGGAACCAAGCGGGATCAGAGGGTCAAAACCAGAAATTTTAACCGAGCCAAAAGGAGAAACAGAGAAGTCTTTGCAAAAACCTCCTGACTTAGCTTTTGATCGATGCTGGAATAGCTGAGCCATGACTGACTAATCTATGCCATTTACATCAGAGGTTGCGACGAATGCTGTTTCACTCAAAGGAGATTGTAGTCTGTTGTTATATTCCTCAACAACCTAATTACACATGAAATCACAACCATTTAGAAAAAAATCATAGAGACTCTGTATTAAAGAATCACACACACAAAAAAGATCATGTTATGCAGCTTCCTTATATGATTGTCTCATAGATGAAGCTGGCAAGTCTTACTTTCCTCTGCGAAGGATGCAGTAAAACCCGCGGTCTTATCGAGCGCACATGTTCAAAAGCTGCAGCTACGGTCATGCCCTTATGCTCAAACTGAAAAAACAAAAAGCATGTTAGTGAGAAGGAATTCCTTAATGAACCAACACAGTTTAATTCAGCCAATAAGATTATAATATATGGACTTGCCAAATAGCAGAGAACAACAGTTGTACTTCTTCCTCGACCAGCTTTGCAATGGACGTAGGTTGTTTTACCAAGCAAGGCATTCTCTGTTACATAAACGGGAATGCATAGCATAGTAAGCAACATGAGTAAAACCACAAATAAGTGTACAAGAGAGCACGGCCTCACATTACACTCACTGTGAATGAAGTTGACGGCTCGAGTTATGTCAGCAATCGAAGGAGCAAACAGGTAATCACGTGTTGGTATCACTAGATGCTCCATTTCATAAGCCTAGAAACAATTCGAAATCATCAATACTCCACAACAACAGATAAAAGATTTGAAAACACAAGAGATTGGGAGCATTGAACATACATTATACAAAGAGGATGGTACCAAAGTCTCAAAAGGTTCATTAAGAGTGATTACGCCACCAACGCCTAGATGTTTCAATCTCGGAACATCCTTACGAAACGGAACAGCTCCCATCAGAAGATACTGAACAAAAAAATAAGCCGCATAATGTGAAAGTGTCTATCTTGGTTTCTTCAACCACATTTAGAAGAAAAGCTCAAATTTAGAAAGTTTCAGATGCTCCAAAAATCACATTTACTTGGAATAAAAATATTCCAGTCAAATTCAGATTCATGATGCTATAATAAAGTTAGCTCCTTTTAAAACTCATCAGCACAATTTTTTAGTAGAATCTAATGATCTGACACTAAGTACCTGATCGATTTGATCCCACCATCGGAACTGAGACTGGAGTTTGAAGCGGACGAGGTTGTAGAAAAGAGTTGGGTAAAACAGGATCCGACCACCCGCTCCGATTAGAGCTCTCTTTGCTTTATCACCCTTTTTCTTCTTCTTCCTCCTATAAACGCTGTCGTTTCGTGATGATCGCTGCTGAGTCTCGTCATCTCCCTCCGTTTCATCGGTCATCGCCGGGAAGACTATTTCAAAGAGTGTGAGAGTTGGTCAACGATTTATTTCACCATTCTTCAACGATATCAGACATATTTACGATATCACCCTCCATTACAGAACACAAAAACATATTAGGGCCTACTTAGGTCTTTATATAATTATGAAGACATATTAAGGCCCATTAAGTCGTAGTAAGGCCTACTTAAGATCTTTGTGTTCTTCTTTTTTCCATCAACTTTTTTTTTTTTTCCTAAAAGTATTCTATCATGTTTAACGATTGACAACTATTTTTCTCCTCAAGATATCATGCAAAAATGTGTTTTCAAACTTGTGGTTTTTGAAAAATATCATAGTGAGATAACATTTTAATTATAGAGGAAGATTGATGGTATTATATTGAAAAAAACCTTTCATTTTCTTGTTTATATCAACATTTAAAGTTAGAGCAAAAAATCTACTAAATTAATGATAATTCAAAGGGGAAAAGACTTGTTAAGAAAAACTCCATAATATATTATAAACTTGAACGATGTCGAACCCTAGCGCCGTTAGGGTTTTGGAACCAAGTGATCATGTCGAGCATATGGAGGATGATGGTCGGCCACCGGAGGGAATCCCAGTGATGTCTCGGGTCTGGGTGGAGAAAGTGCAGAGTAGTATTGGTGGAGGAATTCCTTCGCCGGAGACGGTGCTAGAGGATGAGTTTGCGAAGACTAGGATGCGGGTAGAGTTCCCGAATGGGGCCAAGGGTGAGCCGGTCATCACTATTGGGAAAGAGGTGCTGGAGGTGATGTACGGGCTTTACCGGAACTGTATGATTGTGAAAGTGTTGGGTCGACACATTACCATCGATGCCTTGAACCGCAAGCTAAAGGAGATGTGGAAGCCTCGAGGAGGCATGGCTGTGTTAGACTTGCCGCGTCAGTTCTTTATGATCCGTTTCGACCTAGAGGAGGATTATATGGCAGCGGTAACAGGTGGTCCGTGGAGAGTTTTTGGGAGTATTCTCATGGTGAAAGCATGGTCCCCCGACTTTGATCCTGTGCGTGATGATATTGTCACCACGCCGGTGTGGGTACGAATATCAAATCTTCCTGTGTTCTATTACCATCGAAAAATTCTCATGGGCATCGCGGAAGGAGTAGGCAAACCACTTCGGGTGGATCTAACCACACTTAAGATGGAAAGGGGGCGGTTTGCGCGAATTTGTGTTGAAGTGAATTTGAGAGAGTCTTTGAAAGGAACCGTGTTGATCAATGATGAAAGATACTATGTTTCTTATGAAGGTTTGACCAACATTTGTCCGACGTGTGGAGTGTATGGTCATAATGCGAGCTCATGCCCGACAAGAGTATTGAGTCAAAGCGTGGGTCCAAGACAAGCCTTAGGAAATAAAAGTGCCCGGGATGGAGAGAAGGAGGCGGATGGTTTTACAGAGGTCCGACGAACTCATAGACGTGGAGATGGTCCGCATGTTGTTTTTCAAGCAGGAGGCTTAAAGGAGAGGGCCGTGGAGAATAGGATGGAGGTAGTTAAGCCGGGTGAAAAGGAAGTTCTCAAAACGTCCAATATGTTTAATGGGTTGGCTAGAGAGGAAGGTGAGCATGTGGACGAGCAAATGGATGGCTCCAGTGAATCTAATAAAGAAAATGTGTCGCTGAACTCGCTGAATCAACGAAAGAACACGAACTCCGGGAAGGAAAAATCAACGATAAGCAAGGCTGCGGGAAGTAAAGAAGTTTCAGAGCGGAAGCATGGTGGGCTTAGGCCAGGACGAAATCATGTTCCTAAAGTGAAACATGGAAAGTCAAGTGGTAGAGCTGGGGGTACACTTGCACGAGGGTTGGTTTTTGGACCCATAAGTGGTAATATTGGAAGTATGCCTTCGGGTAAGCGACCTCGGGTGGAGTTTGCGAGCGATGGTCGGGATGGAGAAGAGCCAATGGTTACGGGTGTTGGTCACACGATGGAGAAGCAGACTTTGCAATCAGCTGTAGAAGTGTCTTCGACCGAAATTACAGCTACTGCAAGTACGTCCATGGTCCTTGCTCTTCACGAGGGTGCTTTGGAGCCTCAGGGGGTGAATGTCGGTAAATAACGGTTTACCCCGGCAGTTCTACGTATATTTCAAGATATTATGATGAATTGTTTATTATGGAATTGCCGGGGGGCGAATAAACCCAATTTTCGACGTTCGATTCGATATCTCTTAAAGAAATTTAACACGGATGTTCTAGCTTTGTTTGAGACCCATGCTGAAGGCGAGCGAGCAGGGAGAATATGTCAGAGGCTGGGTTTTGATCAATCTTATCGGGTTGATGCTGCCGGTCAGAGTGGAGGCATATGGCTATTATGGCGAGCAAGTGTGGGTCAGGTGGACGTTGTGGCCGCAACGAGTCAGTTTATCCAAGCGAGGTTGGTAAATGGGACCGAGGTGTTAAATCTGGTTGTTGTTTATGCCGCGCCATCGGTAAGCCGGCGTAGTGGTCTATGGACTGAGCTTCGGGATTTGATTGGAGGAATTTCGGGGCCGTTGATCATTGGTGGTGACTTTAATACGATTTTACGACTCGATGAGAGAACTGGGGGTAATGGTAGGCTTTCGCAAGATTCTTTGGCGTTTGGAGAGTGGATTAATGATCTCTCTTTAATTGACATGGGTTTTAGAGGAAAGCAGTTTACTTGGAGGAGGGGTCGGGTTGAGAGCACGTTTGTCGCGAAGAGGTTGGATCGTGTCTTGTGTTGTCCTCATGCTCGGTTGGAATGGCAGGAAGCTGTGGTGACGCATCTTCCATTTCTCGCGTCTGATCATGTACCGATGTATGTACAGTTGAGTCCGGTACAGCGCACTAACCCACGTAGACGGCCGTTCCGGTTTGAAGCCGCTTAGTTAAGTCATGAAGGGTTTCAAGAGTTGTTGCAAACCTCATGGAATTCAAGCTTATCAACGCCTGAAGCTTTGAGGGAGTTGAGTTGCAAGTTAAAAAAGTGGAATAAAGAGGTTTTCGGTGGGATCCATGTCCGTAAAGAGAGGTTGATGCAAGAGATCACAGAGGTGCAAGAGCTGTTAGAGGGGGTGGTAACTAATGATTTGTTGGCTCGAGAGGAGAAACTATTGAAGGATTTGGATGTTTTACTTGAGCAAGAGGAGATGCTTTGGTTCCAAAAATCTAGGGAGAAGTTTATTGCTCTAGGAGACCGAAATACAACTTTCTTTCACACTTCGACAATTATTCGGAGAAGACGGAATCGTATTGAGATGTTGAAGGACACCAATGATAGATGGGTGACGGATACGAGTGAGTTGGAGAAGTTGGCTCTTGAGTATTATCGACGTCTTTACTCTTTGGAGGACGTATGTGAGGTTAGAGGGGACTTACCTACAGCCGGTTTTGAAGTATTAACTCGGGAGGAAAAACATGAGCTAGAAAAGCCGTTTACCAAGGAAGAGATTATGGGGGCAGTCAAGAGTATGGGGAGTTTTAAAGCCCCGGGGCCGGATGGTTTCTAGCCAGTTTTCTATCAAAAGTGTTGGGAGGTAGTTGGGGATTCAGTTTCTCGATTTGTTCTTCAATTTTTCGAGACGGGAATGCTACCGCCTTCAACGAATGATGCTTTGCTGGTGTTAATCCCTAAAGTTATGAAGCCGGAGAAGATATCACAATTTAGGCCGATTAGCTTGTGTAATGTGGTGTTTAAGGTCATTACAAAGATGATGGTTATTCGTATGAAGGGTGTGATTTCCAAGCTTATTGGGCCGGCACAAGCAAGCTTTATTCCCGGGAGACTTAGCATTGATAATATTGTAGTAGTACAGGAAGCAGTCCACTCAATGCGACGCAAGCAAGGCCGTAAGGGGTGGATGTTATTAAAGTTGGACCTTGAAAAAGCTTATGACCGTGTGCGGTGGGATTTTTTGGAAGAGACGTTAGGGGCTGCTGGTTTTTCGGTGGAATGGACGGGTCGGATAATGCGGTGTGTCTCTGACCCGGCTATGAGCTTGTTGTGGAATGGTGAGCGAACTGATTCTTTCAATCCTGCCCGTGGGCTCCGACAAGGGGATCCGCTATCTCCGTATTTGTTTGTGCTTTGCCTTGAACGACTTTGTCATCAAATTGATATAGCGGTTGGCAATGGGACTTGGAAACCGATAAGGCTCTCGCAAGGAGGTCCAATGTTATCGCATATATGCTTCGCTGATGACCTTATTTTGTTTGCTGAGGCTTCCGTGGCGCAGATTAGGGTTATTCGGATGGTCTTGGAGAAATTTTGCATGGCCTCGGGGCAAAAGGTTAGATTGGAAAAGTCGAAAATATTTTTTTCAAAGAATGTGAGTCGTGACATGGAGCAGTTGATAACTAGGGAGAGTGGTATTGGTTTGACTCGAGACTTGGGGAAATATTTGGGAATGCCTATACTCCATAAACGTATTAATAAAGATACTTATGGTGAGGTGCTTGAGAAGGTTTCGTCTCGACTGGCGGGTTGGAAGGGACGGAGTTTGAGTTTGGCAGGGAGAATTACACTCACTAAGTCGGTTTTAGCTTCTATACCGGTTCACTCGATGAGCTCTATTCTCTTACCGGCTTCCGCTTTGGAACGAATGGACAAAGCGTCTCGGTCGTTTGTATGGGGTAGTACTCCGGAGAAAAAAAAGGTACATCTTTTATCTTGGGGAAAGATATGCAAGCCTAAGGTGGAGGGAGGGCTTGGTTTACGAGCTGCGGGTGATATGAATAAAGCACTTCTCGGAAAGGTAGCTTGGAGACTACTTAACGATAGTGAGAGTTTATGGGCACGGGTGCTACGAAAGAAATACAAAGTAGGGGATGTGCATGATCAGTCATGGGTTGTAACTAAAAGTAACTGCTCGTCTACTTGGCGGAGTGTGGTAGTGGGTTTCCGAGAGGTGGTTTTTAAGAGAATGGGCTGGGTTCCCGAAAATGGACGACGCATACGTTTTTGGTTGGATCGTTGGCTGCTAGCAGAACCGCTTTTGGAGTGGGCTGTGGTTCAGTTACCTGTGAGTGAAGTGCATAAGTGTGCTAAGGATTACTGGGTCATGGGGTCGGGCTGGAATATGGT